TAAGTCTTTTTTAAATTTGTAACATTTATTATTCGAATATTGTTTAAACTGCATGCCTCAAAATGAGCCTAATATTTCAAGAAAATCGAAGCAAATGAACTAAGAATATAATAAAGATAAAAATATTCGCAACTCAAGAAAAATTAATTTACATACAAAAATATGCAATTAATGTTTTATTATGCAGTATCAATCAAAATATTTCTACAGTTTGACTAGCGCTGGCGACGGGGACTTTTGGAATAATTAAACCTTTTACTAGTGACTTTTGTTGATTTCTAGTGATTTAAAAATTGTGTAAATTACTTTCTTTGTTCACTTGATTATTTTTTTTACTTTTAATACCTCTTGCTTTAAAATCTATCTTTCGGCAAATAAAACAAACTCATTTCTTGACAGTAAACAAATTCTAAAATGAACTGAACTAAGACAATACCAGAGAAACAATATAATATTTGCACTTTTGCCTTATTAAAATCCCACGCAACTGCTTCTATCTATTTCTTAAGCGACTTACAAATCGGTCCATTTAACTTGAACTTAACAACTATGTACAATGTTAATAAAATATCACGGTAACAAGAGTAATCACATGATTACAGTGAAAAAAATTAATAGGCTTGTTTTAATCATGTAAATACAGTAGTTTGTCAATCTTTATTTTAACATTATTCTATATATTGCTAGCCTTTTCACTCTGTCTGTATTTTAATTAATTCACATACTTATACGTTAGATTAAATATATTAAGGAATATTGATTATCCTCTATTGTCTGTTCTAATGTAGGACCTGGAAAAGTTCAACATTTGCAAGTCAATAAATCGGCTACCACAAACACGTCATTGTTTTTACAATGGGGAAAACCAGAGGGGCATTTCGACAAATTTGAAGTAAATGGTACATGCATAAGTCCTAATATTGAAAAACCCAGATATCCGCCCTTTCGCTTTAACGTTAGCACGACATTTACAAACTTAACATTGGATCCTGGAACAATTTGTACTGTCGACGTGGCTGTCATAATAGATAATGCAGAAAAATGGGGATATTTATACGGAAGTCGAACACTAATACTGAATATTGGAACAAAGGAATCAGGTAAATATTATTTATTTTTGCATTAATCATTACATCAAAATTATAGATGCTGCAGAGGTAATGAATGCTTATTGTACTTATTAATTTGCATCAACAGTAAAATAAATAATGAAATTTATATTTGACAAAATTATACGTCTATAATGATGGAAGAAGATACTTAATTTTCTAATATTTCTAAATCGTATTGAGTCAGTAAATGCATGTCAAAAATAAATGTGAGCGTTTATCTTGCTTGTAGAGTTTAAAAACAAATGCCAAATTGTATTACAGCCCCTGGACATGTTGCAGTGAAAAGCTGGTCTACTAATGCAAGTAGTATTTACTTTTCTTGGAGGAGTCCAAAGAAACGGAATGGTGTCATTCGAAAATATAGGGCTTATGTCATTGATGAATATAAAAAGTGCAAAGAAGGTACATACCAATATCTGTGCAATGAATACTCAGGGGAAGGAGAATATGAGGTATTTTTATTCATTTCGTAAAATCTTCAAAACATCAAAACGTAATTTGTGACATACCTAAAAAACAAAAGTATTATATTTATTGTAAAAAAAAGGAAAGTGACATTCATTATAAGTATATCGTTGTAAACAACAAATGGAAAAATATGACAACTTTTAGTGTATGAAGAAACAATACATATTGAGGGTTGTTCGAAAAAGTGTTTTATGTCCTCTTTATTTCATATAATTACCCCTCATTTTTTTCGCAATGTTAATTTCCCATAGGCCTCTGGGAGTTATTCTTCCTGTTAATGCAAGTGTATCACGTGACTAAGAATTTTGTACTGTTACATGGGTTACAGTATTTTTAACAAAATAATTTCTGGTCACATGGTCTATTTACTAAATAAAATGAAATAAAACGTTAAAGACGTTAAACCCCTATAGGACAACAACATCTTCTCTGGAGTAACTATGACATCCATAAAATTTAGTTGTTTGCACCTTGTGTTTTTCTCGTATAAAATAATTTTTTATTGAATAGTCAAAAAGTAAACATCCGTTTTTAACGAGAGAAATTGCAATGTAAATAATTTTGTGACAAACTGGAATATGCAGACGATTGAAGCATTCAACAAAATATTACTTAACAATTTTAATCAGTGAAACGTTACAGATATGGTGGACAGACGTAGGATATCATCGTTCTTTTGTCAAAAACCATGCGAAGAATATTCTGGAAACAGAAGGATCAGATTTCACTGATCATAACCGTATAAATGGGTTAGTGTTTTGTTTTCTAAATAAAACACAGCTTATTGTATGTTTATGACTAGTAGATATTATCACTTGCTTAAAGAATAAAAGAAAAAGAAAACTTCTCAAGTACAGTAGACCTAAAGTAAACTTAAAAGGTAAGGACAGTTCAGTAGTTGTTACTCTTGGTTTAGTTTTGTTACAATTAGATTTAGTTGAACGCAGTATTTTTGTTCGGGGTAATAAAATAAATAACACATGGGTTTGTGAGTAACAGTAAAAATATCATCCATCGTAAAAATACTGTTAACCTCGGCTACGCCTCGGGTAACAGTATTTTCCTCGGGATGATATTTTTACTGTTACCCACATACCCATGTGTTATTTATATATTAGTTACTGCAGTTTTGCGGTCAAACCACGTTATAATTATTACGAATAAAAGATTCATGCGCATATTATGAAAACATATTCACACCAAAAGTCCAAAGATACATACATTCTTAGAACAGCAAATTAGTTACTCTGGTTGTGCACGTTTCTTAAAGCTGAGAGTAATACATAATTTCAGTGTGTTAAAAGAAATCATTTGATACCGTGTTAAAACTAAAACATTTACAAATATGCTTCTAACAAGTTTCTGTTCTTCTTGGGTTTTTCTTTTAAGTTACTAAACAGAAAGACACATAGGTATGGAAACATTTTATTTTATCTTTTGCATTTTCGTGTTTCTATGAGTCTGTCTGCTATGTAATGTTATTAGTTTATCTTCCAAGTAGTAGTATTTTTTAGGTGTGTTATAATAAAAAGAATGATGAAATCGATCCTCTACCAAATGTGTGTGATGATTCTCGTAACTGTATACATAATGAGACGTGTTCAAGTTTGAAACAAACTGTATCAGACTTACATCCTTATCGTAACTATTCTGTCAAAATTCAAGCATTCACATCTTGTTGGGGAGAACTACTGACAACTGTTATCCAGACAAATATAACTGGTAAGTAATACTATTTGGATTAGTCATTTGATTCTTTTGACTTGGTATGCTTAACTTGAAAACTACTGGCCGTGGTTATATTGCTAAAATGCACTTAATTCATCAAGTGATACAAATTTGGTCATAGAACGGTTGTATTTGTCATTGTTTAATATGTCTTGTTATCTTACATTCTATTCCGTTTGATTCTAAATTTGCAAATGCATGTTAAATGTGTCTATTTGAAACTATGTTTTACATTTGAAGTTTTATAAGCAGAATGGGAGAATTTTTAAAAACAATTTTATTATATGAAATTCGAAGTTTCGGTTTGGTTGAGTCTTTAACTAAAGGGTTATAGAAAAGTGCGATGTTCATTAAAGGGACTCTTTAGGACTTTAATATAATGTACATGTATAATAAAGAATATAATAAAAAAATATATGTGTATCATAAAATTTTCTGTTATTTTTTTCAGTTACAGAATTATCAGCTAGGGTCTTTGTCAGAGAAGTCCCTTAATATTTCAGATTCATTTACAACATCTGATACAAACCTTAAGTTTTGATAAATGATAATTAAGATAACACATGTTGCAGCAGATCTTATTTGCTAGCTAAATATTGATATTCACTAATTTTACACTGTTTTAGAAACAAATGTCACTTATTGTACGTTAATTTTTATAAATAGATTGAAAACGTTTTTGACACTTGAAACAACTTGATTCTTTAGGCGATGAAGGAAAACATGTAGGTAAAAAGCATAGTAACCACGTGTTACTGTCCTATATTGTGTATATGTCCACGGGTATAAAACAAATCACTATCCGTTATACGATTGGGATTTTAATAAATATTGGAATAATAAAGGAAAACGTATGTAAGTTTTCATTATCAGTTTTCCTCAATCATAATTATGCTTTCATTCTAGAGTTTTTCATTATTTGACTTATACAAAATATCTGTTCCATATTTTTACAAGCAAGACATTTTGATAGACAAGCAATCTTCTCCGACAAAGATCCATTGCTTGATAATTTTGTAAGTAAACAAATAGAGACAGAAAATTTTATACATTTAATTTATTATTATTTCTTTCAAAAAAGTTTTCCAATCACTGAAAAACAATATACGCATTCCGATCATTCCATCCAGGTACACAGCATACATATCAAACAGCAGAGTAATAACTTTCTCTATACAAAATATTTGTCATACATGAAAAGATTATCCATCCGACAAATGCTGTTTACAGATTTTCGGGATTATCAATATTATCCTCTGTCTGATAATTGTAAGTTGATTAGTTATTGAAAAACATAAAAGGTTATGAAAAGCTTAATCACTGTCCGTTAATTATGTTTTGAATCAAGTTAAAAGATATTTCCATCAAAACAAATTAGAATGGAATGTGTAGTTTCAGATATAAGACAACTATTTTTATAAAAAAATCAAATAATAGTAAACAGTTTATCAAATTCATAAATTCGCTAAAGTTAGATGTCGTTGGTGTATCAAGGTTTTTAAGAATAATACATTTTATTTCCTAGAACACATCTAATCTATATAAGCATGTATGTACATGTATATATACCCGTTAGGTGGACAAACATCCCGAACTTCAAACAAATGAAGAATTAATTTGCCTCTGAAACTTTTCTAAACACGTGAACTAATTAAAACATTCTTTGCGCTTCCAGTTCCGGCTGTTTCTCCGATGAATATAATTCCAACTAACAATACAACTTCTTTAAAACTTTCGTGGGAACATTTAAATGAATACGAAGAGGGAAACGGACCGATTACAAGCTATACAATTTACACCAACTACACAAATAGACAGTGTACTGACGATGTAGGCACACCAACCGAACAGAAGAATATCAGTTTAACAAATTACATTGTAATAGATAATTTACAACCATATACGGAATATAGCATTCAAATAAGTGCGTTAACCGAAGCTGGAGAAGGGCCATTATCAGACCTATCAACATACATGACGAATGAGTCAAGTAAGTTACGAAAATACAGATCGGTTAAAAGTCGTAACATGTCTGGCTGTTTATCTTTTTGAGCATGATGCGCAAGGATTTCACTGATGTTTCAAACATATAACAAATAATTTAGCCATTGGAAGGAAGAACATTCTAAAATAATTTATTGTCTGAAATTGTTTCTCTTGTTTAAGTATTATTAGTACAACCATTTATTCATTTGATATAACAGATAATAAAAGTGATTTTCAGTAAGGTCGTATCTAAAAAGTAACCACTTTGACTTATTTTAACTGATTAAGAATTTAATTTAGCTTAAACTCATTAATCTCCTTTGCGTTGGATAAAATGTATAGAAGCTTGAGGACAAAACATTTTTGAAGATTGTTAAGTTACATATATCTTTTGTTTTTTGTTAAAGGCCTGTGATTTCGTCTTGCAACGACATTTATATTTCGATCAATTTCAAAAATAGCAGTCATTACGCATGATTCTATCTGTATTTCAGACGTTATCATATTAGCAAATGTAAATTCTTGTAACAATGAAGCTTTTCATCTTTTACTGTATTTTGTATTCTCTTTACAGTCCCCGGCTCTATTACCAAATCAGCAATAATAGTAGAACCAGGAAAAAGGGAAGCTCACTTTAATTGGTCGGCACCTTGCTTACAAAATGGAATAATTACAATGTATGACGTTCATGTCAATAACATCAAAGATAATCATTTAATTAGCAATACTTCTACCAGCCCAGCTGCTGTCATTAAACCACTTAAACCATACAGCAATTACACAGTGAAAGTAAGAGCCTATACGTCTATTGGACCTGGAAATTTCAGTGAAGTAATCCAGTTCTCAACAGAAGCCGATGGTACGTAATATATTGCAAATATATATAATAGATAGAAAGTTGATTTTGGTTGCTGGTACTTGCATATTCGATTTTATCACAATTTATTTCTTTCAAACAAATTGAACGGTAACAATATTTACTATTTTACAAGCTTATTGTAGCACCTAATCAACTTGAAATATTTAATGACTTGTGTTAAATGGCTAAAGCATTTGGGTTTTTAAACTTTTATTCTTATTTCCTTTAATCAAGTTGAAATAACATGTCCAGTTACGTTTCTTCTATGCATATTTGATTTAGCTGGTAATTTCTGTTTTGACAACTATGTCATTTTAAAACCAGCTATCATATACATGTATATTCAATTAATATCCCTCGATATTTATTAAACATGTTTTTGACCGGTAGATGGTCGACTGGTATGAAATAAAGTGCTCATTTCGAGCCCCATTTAACGTTATATTCATATCGGCCAAAAATGAAAGTGTATCAAAATAACGATCGTAAACCAAATTTTATCCCGAAAGCGTTTCATATTTCTATCATGTTTATTTGTAAGCCACACTAGAAAATATGCGATTTTCGTCCGATAGATGGCCAGAATCCAGTATATTTCAACGTAAAGGAATAATTGCCGTTTTAATACAGCACGCACTGACAGGTGCCTTATTATTCAATACAATTCTAAACTCTTTTTCGTCAGTTAACTAAATAATACAAATACAAATACAAGACATTTATATAGCGCAAAAATGTATTAAATATTCGATTGCGCTGTACATTATTAAGACTATATACACATATGCTTGATCAAGACACTCCCAAACCCAGTCTCGATGGCACAGCCAATCTAACAACTCTAGTTGAAAAACAGTCCAAACAAGTATGTTTTAAGTTTTGGCCTTAAACTGATTTTCATTGGTAATGTCCTTCAGATAGTCTGGCAATGAATTTCCAGCCATTTAGGTCCCACAATGGCCAAGGAATCTATCAGCAAAAGTTTTGAATTTGTTGATGGTAATATCAAACCGAATGTGGCTAGATGATGAGGATCTCAGTCTTTTCCTGTACTGACTCTGGCATTTAGTGAACAATTTACGAAGATACAATGGAGCGGTGCATTTGCAACACGAAAACACAGTCACAATAACTTTGTACATGATTCTTGCTCGAATTGGAAGCCAGTGGAGTGGATTTAAGAATTTCAGCACTGGATTGATAGTAAGCAGCTCCAGTGACAATTCTAGCAGCATAAATTCTGCACACGTTTGTAAATTTATCAAGTTGATAGGCTGGAATATCAGCGAATAATCCATTGCAAAAGTCTAGAATGTGAATGAATCAAACCGTGAACAAGGATTTCTGCAGATTTCTGAGTGAGATGTTTTCTGATTGCTTTCAAATTTCTTAACTGCATGTGTGCAATCTGACACTTCTTTTGAATATGGATGTCAAAACTTAAAGTGCTGGTCATCTGTACTCCAAGGTCTCTCACATTGTCAACACAGTTGACTTCGACCCCACCAATATTGACACTGGAAATGTTCAATTTCTTTTCAGCTGATGTCTTGTACCATAAATGATGATTTCTGTTTTTGCTATTGTTAATTTTTAACTTAAATCTAGTCATCCATGACACAATATCATTAAGACAGTCAGTGAGTTTTTGGCGAACGATTTCTTCGCTGTGATGGTCACCAGCTCTAATTTTAAAATGCCACTTTATGATCGTCTGCATATCCATACAAATCCGCCGGATATTTCTGGACTATTTTGTTAAGGGCAGCTATATAGAGAGTAAATATCACCGGTCCAGCACAAGAACCCTGGGGAACCCCGAACCTCAGTGGTTCAGTATCCGATGAGGACTGTTCAATGACAACTTTCATATCTCTGTTGGTTAAATAAGATTCGATCCACTTTAATGGAATACCCTGTATGGCAAAGTCTTTCTGTAGGATTTCAAGTAATATTGGTATATCGATAGTATCGAAGGCGGCGCTTTAAATCAATCATTACAACTATTGTCACATGGCGGCTATCAGCTGTTTCTAGCAGATCACTGTACATTTTCATCATAGCAGACTCAACACTGTGAAATTTACGGTATGCACTTTGGTAAGTTGGTAACAAATTGTTGGACTCAATGTGGCTTGAAATTTGGTTCATTGCCAGCTTTTTCAAGAATTTTCGACAAGAATGACAGGTTTGATACAGGCCGATAGTTTTTCAATTCTAAGGGAAGGCCTTTCTTTTTCAAAAGGGGCTTAATAACAGCGCTCTTCCACGTCTCTGGAAAAACACCAGAAGACAATGACCCGATTCACGATTTCGGTCACAACAGGTGCAAGCAAATGAAGATTTTCTTTCAGCTTTGGTGTTGGCATAACGTCCAACTCACATGTTGTTGACTTTGATTCACTCACAAGTTTGATTATGTCTTTTTCATTTAGTGGTATAAATTTGTTCATGATATTTTCACTTGATGGTACATCAGATCCATAATACTATCAATCACTGAAGATGACGTTTCTGTGTTTATGTTATCCAGATCATCACGAAGTTTAAGGATTTTGTCACTAAAGTAACGCAAGAAATCGTTTGCAAGTGCCGTCTCACTGGTGTGAGGTGGAAGTGGGTTATCCTTCGAACGCCCAAGCAAGTCTGAAGTCACGCTATATAACTTCTTCACATTCCCTTCAGCCTCTCTAAATATAGAAAGAGATTTTTTCAAATAAAAGGATTTGTTTTGCCAATAATTTGGACCTATGGGTTCTGCAGATTCCACTTATCTAGATATATCGGTTAATGTAAATATCATCTGCTAAAAATTTTTTGGTTTATGCATAATTTATTTTAGTTCGATTGTGTAAGCTAATAGACAAATTTTCGAATCTCATTCTGGAACGAACATGTACTGTTTGTTTGTTTGAATCATTTTACGCCTTATCAAGTATGTAAATAAAAAAGTGTTATATAGAAATAAATTTTGCGTAAATTATGATTTTCGGAAAACAATAAAATGGTCACCGCATTAATTGATAAAAAGCAATATCTTCTTATGTTAATTTCAGTACAGGTTTATATTTTACAGTAATGATAAAAGTATTGCTGAAAATCCAATTGGATCTTAAATGTTTTAGTTCTTTCTTCTTCGGTAAAGCATGTAAAAATCATTTTCGGACGTTTGACTCTCTAGTTTGTGTACGATTTGTGCGATTTTGGAAGATAGAAAAATATAACTATATGACCGATACAAACCATGTAGCAACATATTTCATTGCCGATTAAATAAATCAAAACACAATGTTTTCAGAAACGGTATACAAAGTCATATTAATACTTGAAAAAGTAAACAACATTGTTTTGTTTCATACTATGTGCCCGTATATACCTTCATCTTCTTTTTGAGATAATATTATCTTTTCAGCGCCTGGACGTGTCACTAACTTGAAATTAACTCCGGAAGTTAATGTCACAAAACCAAGATCACTTCAGGTGACATGGAATGAACCTCTGGATAAAAACGGCATTCTAATAGCATATCATATTTTATGTACCAATTTGAATGTGAGTTTTCTTCTTTGCAAAATAAGGAAAACTCTATTTTATGCTGATCTAAATTTTAGATTTTGGTATACATGAACACTATATATCTCTCTCAGTGAATCACATACTTTGACTGATATGGCATTGACAAACTTTATATTTGCGTGCTTAGTATTGTATTATATCTTAAATTTGCATACTACATATTCATTGTAAAATTGTGTCTTTGTGGTTAAAGTGTAATACTAATCATGGACATAGGATGAAAATTAGCCTAGTCATGGAAGTCATTTAGCCAGCATAACTTCATATAGCAGAATTCTTCTAGCGTGAATCTTTTTGGGCGAAACATTAACAATTGCTTACTACATGCTCTCATAAATTAAACAATTATTCATAGATACACGTATACTGACTTTTTCAACACTTTAGTTCATTATCTACAGAATAAATAACAGTTCTTTATTTACTTTTTATACAGGACTCACGTGGCGTGTACAAGAATCGAACAGACTCTAATGCTTCGTCTTTCTTTTATCCAATCGTTTTAACAGGGGTATATAGAGTAAAGGTATTTTCATATTAAATGATAAATAAGTTAAGTATGAATTTCATTGGTAATCTTCTCATAAGTCATTGTTTGAATCATGGTATTAACATTATATAGAGCATATGATATCTATATTCATGCAGTTTTGTTTACGTTATATACTCAGAAATTTACAAATTACCGTCTTAACTTTTAATGAATCTTCTTTCTTATTATCATTTTTAGGTATATGGAGAAACTGCCGAAGGCAACGGCAGCATAGTCGAAAAGATAACCGTCGTACAAGCGGGAGGTAATTTGTTGAGAATATTTGTACTTGTAAAAATTGAGTAATTATTTGGTCATCCTCTTTTTTGTACGAAGAATGACGGGCATATGATTATTAACCTGACATCATGTTTCCTTGGACACACTGCATTGACCCCTGATTTGCTTTTGTGTTCACGTTTCCTATTCCAACTTACAACGTTTAAACTGGGTGGCGACTCTTGCTCCAACCTTTATTTTACATAAAACATAGAGTTCTTCATATCCAAGATACTATTAATACGGTGGCCAATATGTTTATTGTATAAATAGTTATCTTTTGCAATTTCATCTCGGTATCCCTGTAGTGCGGAGAGTCGGTTTCCGCCTAAATAGTACTTCCCAAAGTTGGATTCTGGTGGTTGGAGAGCCTGAGAGATTATTCTTATATATTTTAATAACGGATAACGCAAATAATCTTCTGCTCAGCGAGTGCAATAAATGACTCTATCCCATTTTCTTGTACTTACGTAAAAGGGACTGAATTTAGCTCATTCATAATTATAACAAGCTTTTGGCTATGTTTGGCACACCAAAACATGTCAGAAAACTCAGAAACGGTAGACTCTTGATATGATAAGACAGCAAGCATCAAGCTGTTATTTCAAATTGTAAAACATTCTTTAGTCTCGATGTTGTTGCCCCACCACACATAACTCTGAATTCCTCAGAGTGTTATCAAGTGTGATGACCTTAAAAGAAATAAAGAGATGGACATTGCTGAAGAGTTACGGAAACAGCTGATCTCAAATGTCGAGCGGATTTTAGGCGGTAAACAAACCATATGGCTACATAATCACATTCTCTACATCAATTATTTTGTTGTAACTTTGAGTTGGCTGTGTTGGTTAATATTCCAAAATTGATTTAATGTTATCAAATTTGATCACCATGAAACAAAATGTGCATGGCAGACATTTTGCTAAAGATGTGGTTTTACCAAATGTCGATATTGTGGAGGCAATTAATACGCCATCTCCCGATTTTGCCATGTCAGGGTTAAAATCTGCAAACAAGACAGCTAATCAATATGTACTGTGTCAAAGATGTTTGACTCTGCGTGAAAAATAATATTTAAATTCACCTTCTTGCTGTTGCCCAGACTGTCTCATTTTCTTTCGTGTAAACAATCTATGTCTGCGCAGACACAGTCATCGTCCAAGTTTTCTACAAAGAAGCAAGTTGTCCCAATTAAATTTACATTTGCTGCGAAATATTTTAGACTCAGTCATGCCTTTAACACCGACGATTGAAGAAGCCAATACAGACACCGGTCAAAAATTGGTACGACAAATTAGAATATTCAAAATCGGACGAGGATAAGGACCTGAACTTCTCATCTTCACGGATAGCACATTGTAGAAAACCAATTAAATTTTAAAAGTAATTATAATAAATTGTAAAACATACACAGAAGTCAGTCATACATTATTCAAATGTCATCAAAGAAAGTATTATTCAGATATGAATATCTTATTCATTCTTCAGAGTTCTATAACGTTTATTTAATGGTAATAGGGATATTTAGATACACTTCACACTAATCACAAATGACTCTACTTTAAGTACGTCAATTTTAAGAAAGCTGCTTCTGAAACATTTTTCGGCTCTGTTCTGAAGATCTGACAGACACCGATTTTGGTTCAGCCGACATAGATGTACATTTTCTTCTACATAATACATGATTGCTTGCAAGTGTATCACATGCACAAAAAATATATTCTAACACTATCGGATTTTTTTTCTATATAAACAAAGAAGGCCCGAAGCGTGCATTATTCTCCAACAATGCACTCGCCGTTCTTATTACCTCCCTGAGTATTTTCACATTGAAGGCGCCATTTTGTTAAAAAAATCTGATAAATAAAAACATTTTTTGTCGAATTTTGTTGTGAAAGCTATCTAGAATGAAAGAAAATGGTCTAACTAAGAAAATGAATCCGAACACCAATATCTTTAATTCAGTCGTTAACGCTGTACAGACGTTTTAAGTGTTGTTTACGTGATGTCACAATGTAGCGCCAAACAGCACGTGCAAAACAATCAAATCAAGTACGCTATTTTAATGTCGCAAACGAGTTAAGTTTTACATTTATTTCACTTTTAATAATTTGTATTACGCTTGAAAAATTATAAAGTGAAATAAAATAAACAAACAAAGTTTTTCCAACGTTTTCAAAATTCGTTATTCTCAAAATGTTTCTACACACGGTAGATTTAACGACTTTTTTTTCAACCCACTGGAACAGCCTTTAAAGAACGTTTCTATGGGAAACTCTCAGGCGAAACACCAAACATAAAGTCCAACTTTATAATAATAATTCTAATTTACTTGACGTGTTAGAATGGAAATAGATATTAATTCTTCGTGCATTATTGTATAATAATGCACGTTTTTCGTTCAAATGCTTTGTAATTAATCACTCAGGCCTATCGGCCTTCGTGATTATATTACTACGCATTTGAACTCAAACCGTGCATTGTTCTACAACAATGCACTCAGAATTGATATCTATTTCCTAAACAATGACAATAGTTTAACAAAAAAAGTAACACAATTAACAGAGAGCTTACCCTAAAAGACTCAAGCATTGTCCAACATCCAAAAACCTTGAAAAGTATAGAATATTTAAAACCAACGCTGAGAGATAAATTCGGAAATCAAAGCGCAAGACATGACAGTCAAAGAGTTCAGATGAAAATAAAATACCTCTATAAGAAAAGTATACGATGCAGTAGGAAAAATAGCGGAAAAATTTTGAAAACATCACTGTTCTATAAAAATCTAGTAACGGCAAGATACACACAAGCACAAAAGGATATTACGGAAACTATTTCAAAAGGCCTTTTTTCTATTGTTTTTTTTTTTCCAATGAATTTTAGTAGCGAATTTCAAAACTTGAAAGAGAACGAATAAAATTTACTTCAGCAAATGATGAAATATACACTTCATTGTTGTTATTAAAGATTTAGAGAAATCTAATATGAAAACCTAATATTGTGAATCAGAGCATTATCAAATGATTGAATAACTTTATACTAAGACCAACGATGTTTTACGAAATAGACCCATTGCCATCTACAAAAAGCCAAATGATGAAGTCGATCTTTGCTGTATAGAAAATGTCTCTAATGCCACATTTCTATGTCCCATCTAGTTTCCTTTTTGATAGAACTTGCATGAGAACGCATGGTCCTGACCCATGGCTCTAATTGAAAGGTTCACACATTCTCCACTATGCCCCGGCATGCCCGGTCTTATTTGATCCATTTAAGAACAAATGGAAAAACTATGAAAAAAATATATATGCACATATATCTAAAGCCTAATTTTTACGGATAAATGTTTGACAAACAAGTTTGATTTTAGTATAATTATTAGTGAAAAGTATAAGAATGTTATGCTTATAATTTTTGCAGCTCCTATTAAAGTAATTAATGAGACAAATGGAGTTTTATTGATGCAGCCTAGTAATGAACAGCCACCAGACAAGGAGAAACAGATAGCTATTCAACTTCCCTTAAAAACGTTCTTATGTAACACAAGTAGCGGTGAGTTAAAACGATGGGGAATTGTTGTAGCACAAGATGGCCAAGCAAATGGTTGGTATATTTATTAATTTATCATCAAATTATAAATCTACATAGCCTATTGACGCTGCAAAAAATCATTTGTTATAGATTAAGTATGGTCAATTTTAAAGTCCATCGATGTTATTAACTGAAAACTTTTACATAAATCTTAAAAGAGCTGAAGTTATATTTATTTGCTTAATTTAATATTGCTTCTTTTTGACACACTGATAAATCCCGTTTATGCCAGATTCTATTCACATTTGACACTTTCCTGCTTCAGATAAAGTATTTGCAGGAAGTATAGAGGGTTTCAAAAAGAAAGAATTGCAATATAAAAACTGGTTTCATGTCAAAGATATGGATTCGATTCCCCCCTACATAGCGACTCCTAAAGATTGGAAAGTAAATTGCCCCAGTGATAACAAAGGTAGGTCATTTGATATATAAAATAAATATGTATATATTCATCTATTTTTGGTGGCGTCAGATTAAATTCTTTTGCTAGACAGTACTGTTTAAAATGTTAATGATTTTTTTACCATTTTTGTTTTGATAATTGTCTTTCAAGAATGATTGAGGCACATTGTACTAATGAAATCAGCCTTCCAATGCAAATTTTTAAATTCTAAAACCTCTTTCCTTTGTCCTTTGTATTTATGATAAACAAATAAATCCAACAGGTTCGCGAATAAATAACATGCCATTTTTATATAATAGAAGTATTTTTCAACAACTTGTTCGAAGTTTATGTAATTTTTCATCAGTAAAAGAGACTTGTTGTTTTTGTTATTAAACAAACCATTGTCTTAAATCTTCTGTGCGCTTAAATGTGTTCCAGGCAATAGGAGAAAAAGGGCAATATCTCATTCCCCTACAGACGCACAATTCATAGTTGGAGATCACGGTCAATGTTCCGGCGTTAAACAAGATGAATATTGCAATGGTCAATTACAACCAGGACGTAGTTACAGGTTTGTTATTCAAACATTTCAATAATTATTTCCGGTTTTATGTGACAAAGATATAAATGTCGTGTGTACACTTGCACAATGTTGGGTCGTCAATGTCTTCATGAGGTGTTTGACCTTTATAAACATAAATAAAGTAAATCATTCAATACGACTAAACAATCAGTATAACTCAAAAGTGTGTTTCCATCAGATATTCAGTAAAAAGAAGTAAATATAAAATTGCCCGTTATCTTCCGCCTTAAAAAAAATGAATTAAAACGAGTACCAATAATTGAAATGGAACAGTTACCTTCTTTCAGGCATTTCTTTCCTGATTCACTTGAACATATAATAATAAGTTTCACTGTTTTCTCATATAAGTATTGAAATAATGTTGAACAGAACAGAACAGAACATATACTTTATTTAGAATGACACAGATTACAATATACAAGTATAATGTAATAATATGTGAACAAAGTCAGTAGACAAAATCAAATCAAATGGGTATGAAGAAATAACAGTTATATTATGTAATGCAAGTAATCTTTGAAGGTATTTTTGTTATATGGGTATTGCAGTAAATAGTTTTATCAAACTGTAAAAGCATAAGAAAACAAGTATAGAGATTTGCAAGATATAAATGGAAAAAAGTATGGGAGATAAATTTTCCCCTTGACGTTCCCCCGAGAAGCTCGAGAAAAATGCTGATGTTTGGTCGTTTACTGATATACAAGACTTTATGTCTGACTACATACTTTTAATGACGTTAAAAAATTTCCATTTACACCGATGCCAAAAAGTTTCCTCCAAAGACCAAGACGCCATAACGAATCAAAGGCCGAAGAAAAATCAATAAAAGAACAAAATAACTTTTTCCTTTTAGAGCGTAATTTTTCTATGAGAAAATGAAAGGCGAAAATATGATCATTTGTAGAGTATTTTGCTCTAAAACCAGCCTGATTTTCCTGTAATAAATTATTGTCAGATAAAAATTTGGTTATTCTTTCGTTTAGGACAGATGTAAAAATCTTTCCTAGGCAACTGAGAATTGTAATGGGTCTGTAGTTTTCCGGATCAACAGGAGGGCCCTTATTTTTGAAAATTGGCTTAATACAACCTATCAACCAAGTATCTGGTAAAATACCCGTATCAAGAATAACGTTAAACAATGAACAATATATTGGGACCATTAAAGTTCGAGTAGACTTTAAATACTCGTTACTTATAAAATCAAAATGCGAGACAGCTTTACCATTGTTAGACTTCATTATAGCTTTATCTATTTCTGTTTCGGTTATTGGTATGTTAAAATAAGAGCTATCTAGGTTACTAAATGTATTTTGAAAATTTAAATAAACTTCTCCGTCACTATCATCATATTTGGACGAACTCGAAGTTTTAAAAAAGTCAAAGAATTCTGAAATACTCGGTGTTTTCTCCGATTTAGCTTGTGAAAACCTATTAAGAAACTTCCAGTAATCCTTCGGCTTATTTGAACACATCGCACGCAATTTTCGTTCATTTTTAAAATGATGTTTATTTAGATACGTATTCATAGTCTTTTTATAGTAACTACTAGCCGTTTTCAACCTCGCTTAATTTATGTTATTTTTGTGTAATTGGTATGTTTTACGAGCAGTATTATATTTATGACGTGCTTTTCTACAGTGAGGCCCGTACCATGGATATTTTCCGTTTTGAGAGATAGGTTTGGATGAGGATATGTTTTTGTGAGTCGGGAAACTTAAATTTGCAGACAGGGAAAAAACGTCAGAAATTTGTTTATTTAAATCATTGATATAAGATTTAACATCACACTCTCATGGGGTATCGAGCGCTGTTTTGATTTCAATAACCCGTTGGATATCTAAATTATTAACAAATGCTTCTTTCATATTTTCATTCCATTTTGGGGGTTTAGAAGGAAGGTGACGCTGTACAGAATATTGTTCCTGTAGGGGTTCTTTAGGACAATGTGGGGCAGAAACTGTCATGGAGAGAAGTGAGTGGCCATCTGAGAATAAAGAATCTACTTCCAGAATATCAAAATTAGATATTAAAGGGAATAAATATAGTGAACATATGGAGTAATCAATAACCGAGCTCTTCCTGAATGTCAATTTACCGATAGATTTATCTTTTCCAACCCTACCGTTCATAATATAAATATTATTATTTTTACATATATCTAGTAATTTTCGTCCCGTCCGATTAATTCTTTTTGCATTGCGACGAACGATTTCGCGGAATATCAAAATTTTGAAAACTATCAATTTCATTTAATGAGCTAAGCGTTTCTTCGTCAAAATCTAAGAAATGCGACAAAAAATCATCAAACTCGACAAAATCCTGTAAGTTAGATGTATGGGCATTCGCATCACCAGTAATCAACAAATAGTCATATTGGCTACGTTTAACAGTTATAATGTTATTCAAGGAGTAATTAATGATTATCTTAAAACTCGCTTGGTTGGAAATCAATTAGTATAAGGGCATAAATGCTTAGCCATAGTATGCCGCTTATGTAATTGTCATGATAAAAAAGGATTTCAAATATTTTGATCTTAATTTAGATAATAGACTTGTCAGAGTATATAAACATATGATTTTTTTATGCAGAGTTAAATCATTTGTATGTACTAATGGTGGATGTACTGAGACGGAATATTCGGCACCTTTATCAACAGGTTGTAATCCTGAATATCTTTGATCTTAATACAGTACTTCTTTTACTTTTTGTCTTCTGTAGATTTTGTTATGTTAGATATTTACGGAAAAGTGACGAATGAAGTGATAAAAATGCAGTCTGTCGTGCCGTCATCTGACCATGTCGGTTCAAATACTGGGTTGATATAAGTAAATTACAAAACAAAGTTTTAAGTAAGATCAAAATCAAATGAACAAACCGTTTTAGTTGTGTATATGCCATACTATAACTCCGTTCATAAACATAAAAATACCACTTGGAGCTTTTTATTCCTGTAACTCATAAGCAGTACATATTGATATGACTCCAAACCTAATTATATCTCATAAATGCACTAAGCAAAGACACTCGTTATTAACTTGAAATTTTGCGTTTTTGTAATGTGTGATTGAGCAACAGGATATAACTTACATTTACATATTCATTTAACCCTTAACAATAGACTGTACATTTATTTATTCTACATTAATTCATTTCATAGATCCAGATCTTACGACTCCTATAGCAGCTGGTATATCGTCAGCGGTGGTTGTCATAGCAAGTGGCGCTCTTGTCATTTTCTTCCTTAGACGAAAACAAATTCTGCAAGTATTCCTACCAGTTTCAATGATATTTTGAATAATAAAACGAGTTTTGGTGTGAAACTTATCAATATCGTCATTTGTGAACATTGCTTTAAAAAGTTGATAAATTAAAATTAATAATTGTAAAGGAACATGTGTAAGAATAAACAATTGTGTAAAATGTAATATTTTATTTGTATGGAGCCTAACCTTGTCTAGAACAAAATGAACTTTGTAACAATGAGACATTGAAATATACGATTCCAGCAATAGCAATTCTGCATGAATGCAATTACAATCCAGAATTCGTGATGTTTACAAAACGTTTTTTTATCATGTGCACTTATAGTTTGATAATCATAAATCCAAGTATTATACATTATTATTTATTTCTAATTATAGCTGTTTTAGAAAAGATGACGAAAGTCTGATAACAAATACCCCAGGTGTAGGAATACAGCTTGATAAGATTGAACCTACGAAAAAAAATCAGCTAAGGTATGTCACTTTGTTTCTATATATATATTTTAATTCTGAGCTATGTAAGATATTCACAGTTGACTTGAGTAAAGGTAATTTTCAACTCGATAAACTGATACCAAGTCGTTTCTTTCAAGCACTTCTAAATATATGACATATTGGGGATGATAATTTCCAATTTCTCGGCATCGCTAAGGCATTATATTTCTATAAGGGATGTTTTTGTTTTGGACATAATAATCGTCATTAGAGAAAGATATTGCCATAAAAAATTGGTGAAGTTTTTCTTCATTTATATTTATTTAGAGCATGTTTATAAGCTGAAGTAAGCAGCGCTGAATATCAAGTAATGTGAAATGTAAACAAAGTAGTATTTTAACTTGCATAAAAAAATGACAATATTTTTACCAATTGCCAACAGAACGAAAGAAGCAAAGAGACAAATAAGTATTTTTGGAAACTAACAAGATAACAATATAAAAAATAGTTTTTGAAAAATAATCATCATAGCATTTCTGAGGCAATATGGACTTTTAACATAGAATATTTTAAATGAAATAATTGAAAAGCGGTGTGATTACATACATATTTCAAAGCTAGAGAAGAACGGTTTATGTAAAGATCAATACAAAAGAAATGGTTTTCAATCATCCCTTGTACATTTGAAAACATTTATCAATGAACGAATTTGATGAAAATGTGAAATAAGAATATAAAAAATCAATTAATATCATTTATTGACTGACATATTGTATATTTTTCAGTCAAAAAAGGTAAGTAAAAATGGTATGCACATGCATATAAAGATAGACATCAATTTATTTTAGCAAACACAAATTTGAAATATAAACCACCAGTGATAATTTTGTAATATTCAAGTTTATTACTATATACCAGTACATTGTTTCGTTGGTTTATAATAACAACAAAAATTACAAAAACAAATGAAAAATCATCATTCTGAATAGTTTTTATATGGGGGCCTTTTAAGTATTGCAACGATGTGAGACATTTTATCAATTTTAAAGCTGCGTCGTTAAATAATTTAACATTGCCAGTTCATTAATTTGTACTGAACAATAGACATAATGAAGGAAATGGTAAGGTATTGTTTTCCTGTGTATTAAAATGCGTCTAGACTGCCAGTTTGAATTTTGTTCGGGAGTTGATGAAAAAAATAATAATAAGATATTTGTATCACTAATCAAGACTTGTAAGTTAAAGGACCGACCCGAACATTACCTTTGACGTATTATCTTCATAAACCACGTCAGTTTAAAAATTCTGCACTATTTCATATGAGAAATACCACAGCAGTTTATCAACGTTGCACAATTTCATATGCATGTATCACATACCACACATTACACTTAATCAATTACATGGTTTTTTTATATAATGTATAGTGATGCCTGTAAGACATTAAACTTAGCATTGGTAACCTGTTTTATTTGTATTCAATTGGTGGTTTTGAACTTGAAAATAATTCTTATATGTCTGTACATTTGATACCTTTTCTTGTAACCATAGTTTCGATGTTCTTTTTTTTTAAACAAAACATTGTATTTCAAAATTTTGTTCTTGTAATTGTTACATTTCTCTTACCTTTATCTCTTTTGTTTTACATGTTTATAACAATCAACGTCGTTTGTTCCTTTTTTTTTATGTATTCGGTTTTCCGTTAAGATGTATCACAAATATATCATAAATATTTTGATACTTTCAGACACGATCCAATTAAGCTCAGTGAATTGTCAGATGTTGTTGAAAGGTTCCACAGGGATTCTGATTTGCTTTTTGCTGCCGCTTATAAGGTTTATAAGCTAAATTACAGATACTATCAAAATAACCTTAAATGAAAACTTTTTCCTGACCAGCTGGAGTATCAATTATTTTGCCAAAGTTCTTAATTCCCCATAACTTGTAAACAAATCGACGGGTAAGGAATTTAATGCTAAAAGTCACCATGACCTCGAATTAGAGAAAGGGTTCTATTCACTAATTTAGGTTTCGTTTAATCTATATATGTCAAAAATCATCGTATCGCGATTAGCCAGGTTCTTATATTGTTATAGAGGTATGTTAAATATATATTGAGGTCAACATTCCTCAAACACGCTTACTCTCACAAAGTCGGTTATCATTTGATCCATAATTTCAAAATTTTATTTGACGGTTAAGAGTAATGGGAAAAGGAGGTTTATTTTCACGTTTTAAAAACAAATAGCTAACTTCATTCATTTTTACAAAATTTTCATGGTGCCTTCAATGAAGAAAAGATTTGTACTCATTTACACTGATCACTATCGGTGGAAGTATGTATTCATTACTTATTATTACTCTTCTGTCTTTCACGCCTTAGCTAACCCCTATAAATATTACAAAATCTAAAACATTTGACTATTGTAGATGTTGAAAGAAACGAGTCCAAAACATCCAATGACGGCAGCAGAACAACAGTGTTGTCGACCGAAAAACAGATATACTAATATTCTTCCATGTGTGTATTATAATTTCATCAAAATACTTACATCTTTGGTAATTTATAAAAAGTACATTCTAAAAATGATTTTTCACAGAAAATTACTTTTCCACGGAAATGGGAGATGAGAAAATAATCTGTAACAGCCAGTCTTTTCAAGAGATTTTTAATACATTGAATTTGGTATTTTAAAATTCATTTTTTAAACTTGAACGTTTCTATATACTCATGTTTTCGTATGTCATTTTGATTGATCAGTGAAGGTTTTCTTTGGTGTTACGTCGGTATATTGATATTTCAGTTGATCACTCTCGAGTAAAACTAAGACCGTCAGATGATATAGATGGAACGGACTACATCAATGCTAATTATATTCCTGTATGTAATGAACTCTATGTCAAAAGTTATAGTTCATTTTATGTTAACGGCTAGTTAGAATCGCAATTTTGTATGCCTTTGTCAATTTTCAATCTTTTGTAAATGTTGTGACAAGATAAAAAAGCAAATGTACATAAATGACCTGTAGATTTTAAATGAGGGAATTTACTTGCATAAACTATTTAGCTTTTTATCAAGAAAACTATTTTTACTAGTCCATTATTATCATATTGATTTTGATTTCTCTTTCTATGTTGATCAAATTAGCATAAATTGCTATAGTTTTTGTTACCTGGATAAAAAGTGTAATCTGTTTACAGAATAAAATATCTATTTCATGTTTATATTGGTTTTCATCAAAAGGGTTATAAGTCTCGTAGAGAATATATTGCTACCCAGGGCCCTATGCCAACTACTTTTAATGACTTCTGGAGGATGGTGTGGGAGCAAAATGTTGACACTATCGTAATGCTGACAAAACTGATGGAAAACGGACGGGTATGTTTATTTGCAGGCAAAGTTTCTCCTCGGACATTGATACTAATAGTCATTATTCATGTCATCTAATATTTTAAACATGAGTAGTGCAATTATGATAAAATATTTGATTAAAGCAGATGACATTTTCTCTTTGGTTTGTTGATTTTTATATTAACAACATGTTTTAGGGAAATTATCACTGAGGATGTTTTATTGTTAAATCATCACATGATACTAACTATATGGCTTTATCTATAATTGTGGAATAAATCAAAGATATATCATGCTCAAATCTGATATTTGGAAAAAACTGAATATTGCTATACAATTTAAATGTAAATTTTATATCTTTGAGAATATACACAAAGAAGACATCCTTTTTGCAACGCTACACACTATAGGTAATGAAAATATAGTGCCGTTGAAATGGATTGTTTTAAGAATGGGTCATATCTACTAAATGCGGGTTCAAAAACATAGTTTGTGCCTTCTTCTATCCAAATGTAAAAAAATCTGTAAAAGAATTATTTAAATAAATGTCTGCAATTAAAAGTATTTTGCATAGTATATCTTAAAATACTGCAGTGACAAAAGCTACAGAAGGCATTTAAGTGTAGTTAAGAGAGCATACCAATTTCAATCATATCATAATTGACAATAATTTATGCTCATGATGATATTAGTACGAGCATGTTAGCTGTCTTGACGTTCACTAGGCTCTAAGTAGCACTTTTTTGAACATTGGAAGGATATATAAGTTGTTTATGATACACGAGTATTAGTAAAAACATGGAGTTTTATCATGATTTCAGCGTAAGTGTGATAAATATTGGCCGGACCTTGGAGAGCCTGTTTTCTACGGAGATTTGGTTGTTTCACTTCAATCAGAATCCAACATGTCTGACTATATTATAAAGATATTTGAAGTAAAAACGGTAAGTTTGAATACCGTTCATATTATTAATCTTTATACACATTTTCTATCATAGTTTAAATGTATTGTTGAAAGACGTTGTTAAGATATTGAAAGATTTCGTTGCGAAATATTTCTCGAAATGATGTTTCCAGAATATTATATCAGCTATTTTGTGTAATTAGTGTGTAAAGTATATGCAGTATGTGATAAATTTGTTGCCGATATAAAACATACAAGGAAATTATGAAACGAGCATAAAGATACATTCGACGATGCTGAAAATGTGTAAACAAAATACCCAAGTCAAACAAGATATCTTAGAATATAAAGTTCAAAGTAGAGATTTTCTGGATTTTTTTATATCAATGTATTCTGAAAAAAAATGTATAACTTGTCTAACGTGTTTGTGTTTTTCTTTAACTTAAACTGCTCTTTTGCAACATGAACCAAATTTTGTTAAAACAATTGACAAATTAATAGCCAGACCTTTAAATGTTAAAATTCGTGTCAATAATAGTGGTTTTGAGATATGAATATTTAAATTAGGTTGTTCTTTAACATTCTTCTCGAGAAATATACTTCGATTAAAGAGATACAATATAATTGTCCTTTCAGAATTATCAATTCATGTATAGTTCAAAACAGCTGTATAGTTATTCTTATACAGTATAAGCATCTTGCGTCGAACAATATTATCTCTACGTCATTAGGAACATTTTGACTTAAAATACTTGCTCATCATTTTTTGCAAATAAATTTGTTTTTACATAAAATAAAGAAACATAAACATCTTATTGCGCTTTGTGTATGTATATTATATTTTGTTCACTGAGCAACAATTAAAATAATAGAAAAAAGAAAAACTTTAGTTGTAAAAATAAAAAAGTAATACAAGACATACGCATATCTACGGAGCCCCTAAGGTGACATTCTCGACACTTTTCCCCCGGCATTTAATTCGTTTTTACGAAATATTAATTCGTAAATACGAAATATCAATTCGTTTTTACGAAATATTAATTCGTTTTTACGAAATATTATTTCGTAATTACGAAATATTAATTCGTAAAAACGAAATGTTATTTCGTAATTACGAAATATCAATTCGTTTTTACGAAATATTAATTCGTATTTACGAAATATTAATTCGTTTTTACGAAATGTTATTTCGTAATTACGAAATATTATTTCATAATTACGAAATATTATTTCGTTATTACGAAATATTAATTCGTAAAAAACGAAATGTTATTTCGTAATTACGAAATATTAATTCGTTTTTACGAAATCTTATTTAAGGTCATTTTGAGCTTGATAAAGAACCTATTAATCTCACAAATGGGTCATTTACATGCCTTGATCAACTTTGCGATTATGAGCCGAATGGTTCTCAAGTTATTATATTTATGTGAACAGGGTTTTTGAGTGAGAAGTCATTCTCTATCCAAAATGGTCTTTTTTCCCCATTGTCAAATACATGTTCCTATCAGCAATGTTTTAATGTTTGAGACAATCTTTTACGACATGTATCTTTAAAACAGAAACATGCCATATTATTCCGTTCTTTTATCATATACATTAGTAAAACTAATGGGACGGGGGGGGGGGGTGTTGGTCCAGACTTTCACTAATCTAATCAATTTAAAATAAATATTTCCTCACAATTTATTATAAGAAATGTCCGTGTTACGATTTGAAGCACAGGACCCCCATTTTAAGTAAATTTTCCTAGCGCGTGTACCATCACGGCTGTGGCTCAACGCTATTAACATGCGATTATTTTAATTTATGTACAATAGTGTAAAGTTAAAAAACTTGGGGAGAACAAAAATCACTATTTATATTGCATGTACATGCCTTATATTAAGTCAGGAACTTAGTTTTGAGGCCTTATTTATAACTATTACCAAAACTCTTTGAAACGCTAGAAAAGATTTAATTCGTTTTTACGAAATATTATTTCGTATTTACGAATTATTATTTCGTAATTACGAAATAACATTTCGTTTTTACGAATTAATATTTCGTTATTACGAAATAATATTTCGTAAAAACGAATTAATATTTCGTAATTACGAATTAATATTTCGTAAATACGAAATAATATTTCGTAATTACGAATTAATATTTCGTAAATACGAAATAATATTTCGTAAATACGAAATATTATTTCGTAAAAACGAATTAATATTTCGTAATTACGAATTAATATTTCGTAAAAACGAAATAATATTTCGTAAAAACGAATTAATATTTCGTAAAAACGAATTAATATTTCGTAAAAACGAATTATTATTTCGTAATTACGAATTATTATTTCGTAAAAACGAATTAAATTCCGGGGAAAAAAGTGTGGAAAATGTCACCTTAGGGGCTCCGTACATATCTAAGGTAAAATAATTACAGTGTTTACTTTTTATCTAAAATACGAGAACGATTTTATAATTTAGATGTTTTATTCACATATACTAAACATTCAAAACACTAAACATTATATTTGTTCTACATATTTTTTGTGAAATGGAAACTATAAGCATAATAAACTTATTCAAATGTTTTTATTTCATTTTTTTAAAAAGAAATTATATTGGAAATATTGTATTTATTAATGCTCTTATTTAAAAGAATAAAAAAGATGTAAATGGGCAATGGGCGGACGTCGAGATTTCATTAAAAAAGCATTGGCAACACATAAACTTTATATCAGTGGTTCGGCAATATAGGAACCAGTTTCCAAAAGGACCGTTATTATTACATTGAAGGTAAACTAGAAGTTCCAGACTTCGGCTGCATGAATATTGTGAGACGTAGCATTTTAGTATTTATGTAACTGACTCTGAACCAAAAAAAAAGACAAGTGACATGATATCAGTAACTTCGCCTTTTTAAGATATTAAATTTATGCATGTTATTTTTCATTCTATCACCTCTTGCGTATAAAGAATGCGCAACGGAAAATGGTTCGTCACTTTAGTTACTTGAAGTGGCCAGATATGGGTTGTCCTGAAACCCCGGAACTATTGTTAGAGTTCGTGAAAGCTGTTAAACAGTATGGTAATCGGGAACATGAATCCTCGAATGGACCAATGATTGTCCATTGCAGGTAATTCATAATAAGTAAAAAAAGTATGCTTTTGTATAATTATTCACAATGAAACAACAAAACAAATTGATGATTATATGCAAAAAGCATAATGATATTTGAATTTCTTTTACTTTTGATTTATAGTTTACTTATGATCATTTTGTTGATATATAGTAGAATACACAGCACTGTGTGGTCAATATGTACGTCATTTTTTAAACTATCAGCTAACTAACGGAACATCGGTGGTTCTACTGAGGTACACGCTCCTGTCTGAACAATACACAGATGGGCACTTGCGTCCTTCTTCCACCAGTAAAGCTTGAAAGTCGCCATGTGACCTCTTCTGTGTTAGTGCGACCTACAACCCAACAAAAAAATAAAAAAATTCTTATATAGCATATACAAAACATGTATTGCATTAAGTTAATCGTCTTTCCTAAAGACACGGCTTTTTCTGCCAACCTTGAACTATGACAATACATTTCTCCTTAGTATAACTTTTACGTATGAAAGTTATCACCACGTAATTCGACTCTAGGAAAATTGAATTATTTATACATCATAATCATTTTGTTTTGGTCACTTATCTGGTATGGTAAAATGCTTATTATATGCAGGCGGAACTTTTTTAATAATCTGATCGCAGTTACATCTCTACAAAATTTAATTCAATATATTTTTTGAATTATTTATCCTTTTTTCAAATATATCGTATAGTGTGTATGATGTATTACATTTATGTTGTTTGGAATTCATGTGTGCTTATAATGAAACAACAAGTAGGTACCCTGGGTAGTTGATTTCCCAACGCCAAATGCCTTTGATAGTGCAGGCTTACACATGTTAGGCGTAATTCCGTTTATAATAAACCACGAATATATGTTTGAATTTCGAAGCGCAATAATTTAATCGAAGTATATTCTGCTAGATAAAACATATAGAAAGCAGATATTATGTTAGAAAATATAAATCCGATCAGAATAAAAAACCCATTTGACTTTTAGACTTATATAACGTCATGCAAATTTATTTGTTATTTATTTGTCGCCAACATGCTAAGACTTAAGTGGCAATTCTGTAAAGCTTAAAGCATCTTTTAAAAATCTCCATTCAATATATTTTGAACATAGAAACACACTTTTGCAGAGAATGCGCTACCCATTCAATCAATTAATTAATTAATCATTAATTCAATCTTATTTGTTTTCAATTGTACTTGAATATAAGCCAAACTATAATGTTACAGTGCTGGTGTAGGTCGTACTGGGACATTTATAGCCGTGGATTATTTGTTGCAACATATCAAAGATCACGACGAGGTGGATATATTTAATCTTGTCCTTGAAATGAGAAACAATCGATTGAACATGGTGCAGACAGAGGTAATATAACTTATATCATCTGTTATGTCACTCATATGACTATTACCTATGTATTTAAAAGCGTATGGTTAAGAGCAAAGTGGTATCTCAAAATCACCTTTGTCTGTACCATATGTGGGTTCGAATACCGTTACAATATCATGACTGTTCCTGCTTGACAAAATGAACAAAGAGATGCTTCCCTGCAAAAAAGCTTGGAATCGATCAGATTTGTTACTTATAAATCATAACGCATTAATAGCACATATTTTGTTTTACAATACTTGCTTTAAAAATGTGTATTTTATTACGAGATAAGACATCATTCCATTGGAACTGTTTGGGTAATGTGTAAATGATGAACCAATCTTACGGACTTTTTACGCAGTAATTATAATTTCCTATACTATATTATTTATATGAACTACACTTAATCATTAAATATATACTTCACCTTATTGTCTTTTTTTTAAATCATAACCGTGGCGACAAGCTGTAAAATGTAATTCTTATACTATATTTTAAGGACCAGTACATTTACATTCACGAATGTATTAAGTCGTTCATCACAACTCAACAAGAAGAAGAAGAAGAAGACGATGATGAAGGTAATAACGTTTATATTTAAGGCATATATATCACTGCTATTATTATGGATATTTATTTCCAACTTCAAGTAAATTCGACTTTGCTTTTTTGCTGTTGAGTTCAGATGCGCATTGATACTGTTACGAAGGTCATTTATTATACATGCATACAAAGACCGGTGTGGACATTTCAATTTCATGAATTGCCGATTTTATCTTCGTGAATTTACAATTTTAACTCCGTGCATTGACGTTTTCAAACTACGCATACGGAATTCAAGAATCCACGATTTCAACTTCACGAATTCTTGATTTCAACTTTAAGATGTCAACTTCATAAATTCCATCGCGATTTTAAAGAAAATTCACAAAGCTTGCATGTGACTTTGAATTTATGAAGCTGAAATCGTTAATTCGTGAAGTTAAAATAGTAAATACATGAAATTGAAATCTTGAGTTCTTGAAGTCGAATTTGTGAAGTTAATATCGTAGATTCGTGAAGTTGAAAGCGTGAATTCATGAAGTTGAAATCGTGAATTCATGAAGTTGAAATCGTGAATTTATGAAGTTTAAGTCGTGAATTCTGCATGTTGAAATCGTGTACTCATGAAGTTGAAATTGTGAATTCGTAAAGATGAACCCGAGAATTCAAGAAAAAATGTCACCACCGTCTTTCTAGTCTGGTTGATTAAGTGACCGCCAAAAGAGCAAAGGTTAAACAATAGTATTATGTAAGAACAGGATAAATAGATTATGCAAAGTTTTATTTTGTTTTAATACCATGATGGTATATTAGTGTACTATTTTCTATTTTAGCTATTTACGTGAATACTGGATTTGGAGCCAATGAAGAAAATCTATACGCCAATACTTAAAAATTGACAAAGATTGATTTGTGATAGCTAATTGACTAAGTGGATAACAGTTATTTGTTATGGACGAAAACGTTTTTGCAGAACAAATACAAAGTCATGTATTTATATTGATTGACAGAAAAAATATATATAATCTTATATAGTCACAATCACATATTTTCCAGGCATGTAATGTATTTTTTATTTCATTCATTTAACGTATGTATCTAAAAAAATGTAAATAGTAGCATGTAACCATTCATTTTGTAAAAGCACACTGTGCATTGTATAAGCCTTTTAAAGTCATCATCATATTAACTTATTTCATAGAAACTGAGAATTATATCTTAACGCTATATTTCTAGATTGGCGATGCATAAATATTTACGTTGAGGTGGAAAAAAAATCCCATGGTGTTCTTGCGTAACTGAAAAATCACGAGACTTAGGTTTAGATTTTGTCAAGGTCTTCACAGGGTCAAATGACCGGGTTAGACTGTATTATACCACAGTTTCATAATGCTGCACGTTTATCATGTTGTTTTTTTCTCTGGGTAAACGTGGCTTTGTATTCATATTTTTGTAAACAAGCAAATACTTTCATTTTTATTTGTACGTTTTTTCTACGAGAAATGTAATCATATAATAACATGAATCTATCTATTAAGCATCTTTATTATCAAAGGTATGTGTTTCAAAACGCTATGTTAAATGTTTAATGCATTTCAAGTTCAATTTTTCCCGCTAAAGACATTGTTTTGTGTATTTATTGTATTTCCGGATGTTCAACAACTGATGAAATTCTTTTGTGAAGTTATATCACTTTTTATCGAAAATTTCATTACTGGTAACATTTATTTGTGAAATAATTTCTGTGTATCTGAAAAATAATTAGCTGCTGAATATTTTGTGTTTCGTTAAAGCAACATGCCTCCAGATTTATGTTAATGTTCACGAAAATTTTGAAAATGTATTTGAAAGTAAAATACTGTGAAAAGACTAAAGAAAATAATTCGCACATTGCAAACGATACTTACAATCCACGTAAATACAATCCACGTAAATTAACAAAAAGAGGTCAAAATATACATAAATACCTCTTACTGCGTTGGTAACGCAGTAGAGTTATAGTAATTGATACTGCAAAATCAGTCATAAATCGCACATAACATGTGAATAATTAATTAAATATTGAATCTTTTTACTTTTCTTAAGGTCTTAATACATTTTTCTAAAGATTGAATTTCTTGAAATATGTTGGCTCATCTGGAGGCGTGCAACTTTAAATAAGCTGAAAATTAAAAGCGTTTGTGTCAATTCAACACAAATTAAATGTATAAATGTTTAATTGTCAAAGGTAAAATGATTAAGAAATATTGATCAATATATTTCGAAAAGTGGTTGATAAGATTTTTATTACAATTAGAATAAATAGACATATACATTTTATTTGCAAAAACATATGTGTACAGGCCGTAGAAACATATTAAAAAGAAAGCACGAATGACACAATATAAATTTTATAACAAATTGTGATAGGTAGGCTTTTGCAGTGATTCCTAATAAAGATATATATGTTAAGCTAACTACGATTAAATGATTAAGTGATTTTACAAGAGTATATTTCTAAATATCTCTATTGTGCTTAGAATTTTATATGCTTTGTTCTGTTTATTAAATATAACTTTTAATTGTATTAATCTTCTATTGTGATCATGTAATACTTATTTCAATTTGGTAGCAAGTATAGGTTAGAGTGCATATTGGGTGTTCTTCGTAAATAAGAAAGCTAAAAAGGAGCGGAGCTTGCGAAGCGACTGTAGCTTTCTTATTTACGAAGAACATCCAATATGCACTCTAACCGGCTTAGTGCTCCGCCCATTTTTTCCGCCCAACACACTGCGTGACGTCACACGATAGCCTAAATGTGTATAACCATATTTGGAAGAGGTAGCGGTACACATTTTCGGGTCACGTGTTTTGCATAGCTTATTCTCGCATTCTGTCTAGGTAAACAGATGGATAACAATGCAGTAAAAATTCATTGTAGATCTAATAAGGAAAGGAGGTATGACACGTAAAAAAGATGTATACCACGGAACACTAGAATGCTTTATTTATGTGCTGATTTGTCATGTGCCCGATTTTCATGTACTGCAACTTCACAATAAGCTACAAAAAGTCGACATGTCTTGCCTTGCCCGTCACCTCGACATATTTTTCGGGCTGAAATGAACCTGTAGCTTGATTATATATGCATCATACATATTTATTATGTTCATATACATATCATCTTCGGACAAATGGCAGTATATTGTAAAATTAATAAAAACACCCTACTTTCGGTTTTGCAGCTGCACGGGCTGTAATATTTACATAAAAAGTAAGAAATATTACATACATACTTTGTTGGAAAAAGTGAACTTTTTTATTTGGAAATTATAAAATGATACTGGTTCCGTTAGTAATAAAACATTTTTACTGTTATTTTGTCTGTTTTCATTTCAATGAACCTCTTTTTTTAATTCTATGCCGTAGTGACGAAATACATGTGCGTGTACGGAAAAAACATTTTGCATAAATATTAATTAATTTGAGTACAGTAAACTTCAAGATCTCTGCACATGCGTACATTTCACTTTAGCGCTCTTCGAAACTTATCTCCGCCCACTTGCGTTTTATAATATAAAACGTTCAGTTTATATAAAATATGTTCTATTAAGATTTGAAACCTGAAAATTTGAAAAATCCTCGTCGGTGATTGGCTTAAAAAAATTGGCGAGCACTAAATTTGGATAGAATCCAGTTAAGCGGATCCGTGAAAAGTCGCAGGGCGATACGAGCAATCGATCTGAATGTTGTGTTGATTTTTGCTGTTGTATAAAAATAAATGTAATAGATTAAAAAAAAATGTAATAACAGCGTTGATGTTGGGGCGTCGGCACTAATTAGCAAAGCGAATAAAAATTGTTTATCTTCCGGGGTCCGCTTAACTCTATGTGATCTGTTTTGTTCCAGCATGATTTGTATTAACAGTTTGATTTGCATAAACGGTCAGTATCAATGCACGTGTACCGTATGATGGCAATTTTTTACATTAGTTATTACTTATATAAACATTTCATTGTCATGTTAAATGATACTGCTTTATCACCTTGACCTTTAACATCATTTGATCAATGACATTTTAATATCCCATGTCCACAGTAATGTTGCTGTATGTGTAATTAACGAAAGAAAGTACAGCGATACGGACGTATATTATGTGATATGTGTACTTTTATATATATTTCCTTCATTTTATAATCAATACTTTTCGTTTTACAAATAAAAGTGTATTCTTTATCCGGTCTTGTATTTCAATGTGTTTACTTTATCTGCTTTAACCGTTATATAATTAGATAATTATCTTACTTATGTACTTATAAATGAAATATTGAGAAATATTGATGAATTAAAATGCGTATTTTTATTTTCCGTATTTTGACTGTAAAAATATTTTTCACTGCAGTGAAATATGTTTTCCGTATTTTCACTGGTGTTTTTCCGGACTTCTTTCTTCTTAAATTCGCCAATACACAAAATTAAAAGGGAATTCTACCTATTCATTAGGTTAGAAAAGAGAAAAAGTAGATAATAAACAGAAAATTCAAGTATTTCAATATTAATATAGCTTTATTTTCGTCTTGGGGTATGAAAAGTATCATATGTCACTCGTGTGAAATATTTCTTTTCATACCACTCGATAAAAATAAAATCCTGTATTTATAGAAGAAACTTGAATATCCTCTATATACGATGATATAACAGTCTTGAAAGTCACGTTTCTCATAGGCTGATAAATGATCACGTGACAATGACGTTAACGTTTTTACGCAAGCAAACGTACAGACGTGATCATGGTCAGCGTGTATGATTTGTAAGTGCAACACATGTAAAGAAACGTAGGTGTTGACCATTTGTATTTGAATATTTCTCATCTGATATCCAGTAATAATTAGTTCAAGAATAATTTAATAGCTTAAAGAAGCCGGGAACAAAAGACAAATAAAAATACAAAGAAAAATAGTTCACTATTTTGATTGTATTAAAAGTTACAATAGACAGTTAATTGAATTTCAACACAAGGTAACAAAACTAGAAAGAATATATTGAACACAACTTCTTTAAAAAGCATGTCCCATTTATTTTAAAATACTGGTATTTTTTTTACTTACTTTTAGTTTTAATGTCGTTCTAAGACTTGTTACGATGGAGAAATGGCCTTTAAGTTGTATATTTAAAGTTCTTTAGAGGGACTGGCACATAGTTACGAAATAAAACTGTTTAAACAACGCAAAATACTAATCATGATCAATCTTTATTTAATTGAAATATATTGTTAACTGAATAAAATTGTGCGTTTTCAGTAAGTTTAATGTTAAAAACATACATATTTTTATAAATTGTTCCAGTAATAAATGCAAAGCAAAAAAACTGTTATTCGGAGATTTCTCGACCGCCAAAGTACTTTTAAAAGTACATGCACATGTTATTCGGAACAGAAATAATACATTTCTCGTCTGCGACATTTTAACGAGACGATCTTGTTTCAACTAACTGTAAAAATGTTTAGTTTATGTGTCCTGACTGACAACTTGACTTCTTGTTTAACCTATTACAGTCGTTATATCACCAAGACACTTTGATAGGTTTTACCGTCTAAAGCGCAATACAATCATATAATATATATAATATATAATAAAAAAGACATACATATATTACATGTGACACGAATATATAAGAAAAGTATCCCCACTTTTGTTAGTTGCAGAAATCAGTTCAAACACCAGCTTTAAACATGTTAAGAATAAGCTCAAGTTGTATTTTAGTTCTTGTAGTTCTTCTACAGAAAGGTAAGCTTATATTGTTATTTATTTTTATTTTATATATTTTTTATTTGTTTTAATCTTTTTTGTAGAAAAAAGGGTTTTTGTTTTAAAATATAAATAACAAAATATTAGTGTTTATTAATGAACTGCAATTATTGAAGACTGAGAGTAAAACAATATGTGGTGCGACTTAATATAAACTAATATACAAGAAATATTTACATATTTATTGCTAGGAAGATACACTGTAAATTGGGTTACTTATTAAAGTAGGGGAGAGCTATTGTGCAACACGTTTTTTGCTCAATACAGAGCAAACGGCTATGAAACGCGGAAGAAAATGATCGAATAAAATATATTCTCACCCTTTAAAATAAGCAAATGTTAGTTCTATTAATTTTGATAAATTGAGACTTTAATAAATCACAATTTTGTTTGCATTTCTGGATTGTTTTAAAACATAATTTAAATTTGCGAACTATTTAATTTAGCAACAAGATCTTTTGGCAATTTAAATCGCTGGTAGATTACGTTCAGGTTTACGATGCATTTTAACGATTTCGATTTTTTAAACACTATTAGACTTATAATGATAAAATAAAAGCATTCTTTGAAGTTACTGAATACTAAAACAATTAGTTTTCCAACGATGAGCTAGTATTTTAGAATTGATGACAATATCAGGGTACAATATGAAACATATCCGTTTTTATATTAAGAGTAAAAGTCTTTTTAGTACAAACTTATTTACAGAACTGTACAGTAGAATATAAGAATGCCTTCCGTCCGCGCACGATTATTTAAACCCTTGATTCGTTCAATTTCAAAGTTTAACGCGTTTGTTCACATACCTTAATGCCCAAAATAGATTTTATATTTGAGTGTAATTGATTTGTTCACGCCTACATGTATATTACCTAAAGAAATTAAATTTAAGATTACGACTCTTTTTTGTACATATACATGTACAAATGATGGATCTATGCAATATAAGAATGCAACTCGTTTTTGAACGTACCTTTATACCCCTTAAGAGAGGCGGAGTTATGCCTACCGGAGTACTTTACAAAGTTTGCTGCCATTCCGATAAAAAAGACATTTCATATATGTATATTGATTGCAGAATAGGTAATTATTTGATTGTTTATTAAAGGTGAATGCCAAACTGGTAGTGGTGGAACACAGAATTGGATGCAATATGCGGCAGACTTCATGAAATCACAGGCAGCTGGTGCTGGTACTGGTGCCGCAACAGGTGGAACGGGTGCAGCTGGTAATCCCTCATTTATGAGTGAAATTTCGAAAATGGTTCGTGAAATGTCATCTTCTTTTGGCGGTAGACAAGGAGGAATGGGCGGCCTTGCAAGTATGATGGGTGGAGGTTCAGAAAGGGATTTCGGCAGCATGATGGGAGGTTCAGGCGGGGGTTTCAGCAGCATGATGGGCGGATCCGGTATGGATTTCGGAAGTATGATGGGAGGCTCCGGCGGGGGAATGGGAAACATGATGAGCATGATGAGAGGTATGATGGGAGGCTCAGGGGGAGATTTTTCAAGCATGATGGGAGGTTCCGGTGAAGGTTTTGGAAGAATGATGGGAGGAGGAGCCAGTGGCATTATGGGTATGATGGGTGGCTCCGGAGGAGATGCAGGTGATTTTATGTCAGGTGGAATGAGCGGAATGGGCTCAATGGGCGGAATGAGCGGAATGGGTGGATTTTGATTTGTTTTATAATTCCAATTCTTTTATATATATATATATGTATTTCTCTTTTTAAGTCTTCATTAACTAGTGTATTTAATACATGATTTCAACATATAAACAAAGACTTCTATTAATTGGTAATGAATTAGTCTGCATAAACGATGGCAAAGTATATATACTGTAATGATTTTTTTTATTTACTTTCGTACATTTTGTGTTTATGTTTTTGAATATTTCAAAATAAACCAAATGTCGTTTCTGTATTATGTTTGTTAATTTTATTAAAATTATTGCACAGCTTTTGGCGTTTTTTTGTACTTGACCCATGACCCTGATATGCTAAATACACAATATTATTCAATTTTAATTTTTTCTTAAGATTTTGTTACCGTAAGTTTGACTGGAACTATTGATTATGTATTTGTAACAGGCATTTGTCAAAAACAAAATAAAAGCCGGATGGAGCAAGAATTAAATAATGTGTTCCAACGACATGTATACACAATTAATTAAAGTGTCTATAAACTAGCTTAGAAATGACCACTTTGTTAAAAGAAACAATGAAATGGAAACATATAAAATCGGCTCACTTTCGTAGGACACGAATGACACCCGTTGTCCTGTGAGCAATATTTTCGAACTTGAGGTCAGATAGAATTAATCTGAAAGTACAAGTGTGCACAGCAACATTTGACGTTACCTTGGGCCATTAGAAAGTACAGATATTTTGGACGTGATCTTAACCTATTACAGGGTACAAAGCTTTGGACGTCACCTTGACCTTTTATTGAGTACACAGACTTTGGACGTGATCTTGACCTATTAGAGAGTACACAGACACTTTGGGCGTGACCTTGGTCTTTTAAAGCGGGAAATGGTTGACTAAAAACAATATCGTCGTTCTTCACTTAAGTTATTTAAATCATACATTAGATTTAAACGTCTTTGATGCGTAAAACATATTTAAAATACTCATTGATTTACATTGCAACCGGAATAATAAGATAAAGAAAGTACATGAAAGACACGTGTTATAAAGCACATTACATTGATGCACCAATATCTACTAACGCCACAATTTTCGTTGGAAAAAAATACATACGATCTTTTTGCCTGAAAGTTATGAAAAAAAATATAAGGATAAGATGTGAATAGCACAGGGATTTGAAACCGAACAAAAAATGAAAGAAACTGAAACGTACGTAGTAGCTCGTGAGCTTTCTTGGTTTAAACTTATTTATTGAAGCTCGATTTTGAAAATGGTACTTGCAACTTATATAAATCACTTTCGAGCCCGCTTCCTGAAACCAACCAGTACTAGTGTCATAGAAAGAAACATGGTCATGACCCAAGTAGGGCTCGGACCCATGATCCATTGGTTGAGAGACAGACACCTTAACCATTAGGTCACCACTCTCCGTGAGCTTTCTGTTGAAATACTCAAGGGCTTGTTTTAAAGCATCGGAAATTAACATACAGATGAACCTGCATTGCATAATGTATAATACAAACAAAAAATGTAATTGATCTAGTGCATTTTAGATGCTGACCTTGATGAAATCAAGAAATTAACGTAAAGGTAAAACACAAAAGTATCAAGAGGTAGGTATTATAATATCACAACTGTAACTTAAGGAAAAGATGGTCAATTACATGCTCAATGAACACAGTTTCGGAAACTTTAATAGAACACCAAAACTAAAGAAATTTTGAAAACAAAACTAAAAAAATACTAGCATATTGAGGTTTGATTCTAAATAGACGTTTAAGCAAAAAATGGTCAACACGAGAATACAATAACGTATGTTTGAAGAATACATACGGCATGCATGTATAAAGTTCGTCATATTTATTGTCGTTGTTGTTTCTTTTGTTGTTGTTGTTGATGATGATGTTGTTGTTATTGTTTTTGTTGTTGTTTTATACCTCCCGTTTACCAAAGTTCTGAAGTCATTGGGATTGTTCCAAATAGCCAAGTTTTTTACAAAAAAATGTTAAAAAGAATTGTCTTTTGTAAAAATATAAAAAGCAATTGAAAGACGATCTCCAACATCACAAATGTAATCACAAAATTATGATTAATAATACATAATTGAGCCGTGTCATGACAAAACCAACATAATGGATTTACGAACAGCATGGATCCAGACCAGCCTGCGCCTCCGCGCAGTCTGATCAGGATCCATGCTGTTCGCTATCAGTTTCTCTACTTGTAATAGGGTTTGTAAGCGAACAGCATGGATCCTGATCAGACTGCGCGGAGGCGCAGGCTGGTCTGGATCCATGCTGGTCGCAAACACATTATGTTGGTTGTGTCATGACACGGCTCAATTATATTAAACCAACATATAACATCGCCGATATTAGACAGGACTGATTTTGAGAATTTGACTCCCTATAAGATGCTAGAGGCATTTTGTAGTACAAGTGGTATCTTTGTGTATTTTGCCCATTTAAGGTTTGCTGAATCCAATAAAGGTGGGTACCAAATTAAAAAACTTGATCTTGACCATTGAAATGGCCATTTAAAATAATCACTAAAATGGCCGCCAAATTTCTTTATCATAAATGGATGATATAGCAAATAAAACTTTTAAGGAATGGAAAAGCCTGAAATTTGCCACAAAGCATATTCAGGTATAAACAAATAAGACACCAAAACAAAATTTAAACAAAAGGATCCAATATTCCTGAAAAATCCAAGATGGCGGACATTTTTATAGGACAAGAAAAAAGTAATATAGAAGTATTCCCTGCAAGATTTCATGTATTTTATTTGGCACTCTATAAAGAGTGGCTACTCCTCGTTCCAGTTCTGTTGTTGTGAGTTTTTTTTATTTTGTTATTGGTCGTGATCTTAGCTCTTCTGTAATCGGTCCTTGTCTCAGTTATTTTGTTGTTAGATTTGTGATCGGTCCTTGTTGTCAGTTCTTCTGTTATAGTTCCCTGTCCTGTTCTTCTGTTATCGGTCCACGTGTCTGTGCGCTTGATGTCAGTTCTTCTGTTATCGGTACCTGTCTCTGTACTTTTGTTATTGGTCCCTGTCTCTGTAAACTTGTTGTCAGTTCTTCTGTTAACGGTCTGTGTCCTGTTCTTCTGTTATTGGTCCACGTCTCTGTTCGCTTATTGTCAGTTCTTCTGTTACCAGTGCATATCCTGTTCTTTTGTTATCGGTCTACGGCCCTATTCGTTTATTATCAGTTCTACTGTTATCGGTCCTTGTCTTTGTTCTTCTGTTATCGGTCCTCGTCTCTGTTTGCTTGTTGTCAGTACTTGTCTCCGTTCTTCCTTCTGTAATCGGTCGTCATCTTTGGTCTTGTTCTTTCGCTACTTGTTTCCTGATCCGTTAAGTTATTCTCTTGTATCTATCGTTAACGTCATTCTGTGTCTATGTCCTGGTTTTGTCAGTCTTGCAGTCATTTTTTCGTTCAGTGGAGTAGCGGGGGATCGAACTCACGACCCCTTGATTCGTAGGCAGACAGTGTTACCACTGCACCATAGCGCCCGCTCTGAATAATAACCATTTTTGAAACTCCTTTATACATAAAATACTTGTTCAATGGCTAACAAAGGGTGTATTACAATTATATTTTAACACCTCTACTATGTAGCCAACCCACGTGACTTTTATATATATGATCAAAGAAAATATTACTCGATTTATTACAAGTAAAATTTCCATAGAAAACTTTGCTGTGGAAATTTATTGGAGGGTACCCGGAATTCTAATGTATATCAAATGATGTGATAATCTTCTTGTAGAATTTTCACAAAACCGTGACTGAATTCCAAAATTTTCGAGAGCTGCCATGGTATAGCAAGCATAAGTAGCAATCTCCCGGTTTCAGACATTTTATGACTTGATGAAAATATGGTGTTGTTATTGTTGTTGTTGTTTTTTTTTACTTAAACTTTAAATTTCAAATTAAATCGCCACTTATTTTTAAACAAGATGGTAAACATTTGTTGTTTTCGGTATTTTTGTTAAGAATGTGATAAAGTATACACTTTTAAGTTTAAGATGACGTTTTTAATATTATCGATTATCCATCGTATACCTTAATGCAGGTATAATTGAATTAAAAAAATGAATTATGCAGATATTATTTTTGGCAGAAAACAGCGAATACAAGCAAAACTTACACAAAAAACTTACATGCAGCATACACCTGTTATGTTCACAATGTGCTGAAAAACGGCTCTTTATTAATTTCAACATTTCAGCAAGTGACACATTTTATAAAAGAATGGGACATAAATGTTGTTGTAACATTTTAAAAAGTATGATTTGTAAATTTGTAAGTTTGATTTTTTTTTACCTAGTTTGCTCAACACTAAATTAATACAATGTACATTTTTATATATAAACCTGAGGTGCAGAAAATAGACAGAAAACAACTTTCATAGATTGAGATAGAGCCATAATGTCGTAGATACATGTATTTGGGTTACAAAGGGAGTTTTTGATTAAGTAGAATAAACATAATACCAGCTTATATTCTTAAAATTTTGTACTGCCTTAATTCAATTTCTTATAAATACGTGCAATTATGTAATTATTATGTTTTTAGTTAGTTTCTGGAGAAAGGCTTCACAAAGGTGCTATCTACATATTTTGTATATATGTCATCAATGCAAATGCCATCAAGAGATGTTTTGCATGTGGAAGAAATGTATTTTTTTTCAGACTAAAAATGAAACAAAAAAAATTAGAGACGATATTTGCTGATTGGTAATTTGGATATATAAAAGTAAGTTGTTTTTTTTTTTCTTCTTTTTATTACTTCTGAAATTTAAGTTATTTATCAATGTTAGCTTTGTTTTTCTCTAAACAGCCTCACATTGCCAGAATCGTCAGCAAAAATGAGGTACCACATTGGGAAAATCTTAAGAACGTAGTTTCGTCATTGAAAAGTGTGAAATTATATTTTGATAACTTTGAAGTTATCAAATATATTTTTCACGGATAAATCAGTAATCCACTGAAATGCATAAAATAAAAAAATATATAACTAATGTTAGTGAAAGTCATATCTGCTAAAAATGTAAACGCTATCGTTACTTCAACAGTAACACAGCCGGTTAACTGTTTGACTGATGTGTGAGAGGTCTATGGTTCGATTCCGGTGGTTGCCATTTTTTTTTTTTTTTTTTTTTTTTTTCTTTTTTTTTTTTTTTTCTTTTTTTTTTTCTTCTTATTTCTCGGTTTGTGTTGTATTTATGGCATTGAAATGACATTTTTTTGATATTCCAAAATAATTCTTTAATAACAATTTTAAACCATTAATACCATAATAAGTGCGCAAAACATATAAAAACAAAATGAACAACATAAAAAAATCATAGTTACAAATAATGTTGAAAATTACGGAACATTTCCCACACTTAATTCGTTTTTACGAGATAATAATTCCCAATTAGAAATATTATTTCGTTTTAACGAAATATAAAATCTAAATTACGAAATATTGATTTATTATTACGAAATATTATTCCGTAATTATTACGAAATATTAATTTGTTATTACGAAATATTTATTATTTGGTATTATTATATGATCTAAATATATCTGCAATCTCATTGGTCCAAACAGTAGTCAACAGAACTTTTTATAAAATCATATTTACTGGGTGTAGTATCATATTCACTGGCTGAATTGGATTTTCCCAGTCTAAAAATAGATTGAGACTCATATTCAATGATCATAAAGCGTAGACTGTTAAATACGGAATGCCGTTAGGGCCATCGCCTATGAATGTGTTGATCTAAAGCGCGATAGTCGATAGTACGATGGTGAAAACGCGAAATCACGAAACTACGATGGTGAAAACGCGAAAGCACGATGATGAAAACGCGATAGTACGATGATGAAATCGCGACAGTACGATACTACGATGATGAAAACGCGATAAACTATCGTGTTTTCACCATCGTACTGTCGCGTTTTCACCATCGTAGTTTCGTGATTTCGCGTTTTCATCATCGTACTGTCGAGTATCGCGTTTCAGATCAAACCATTCATAGGCGATGGCCCTAACGGCATTCCGGAATGCCGTTAGGGCCATCGCTTATGAATGTGTTAATCTGAAACGCGATAGTCGATAGTACGATGGTGAAAACACGAAATCACGAAACTACGATGGTGAAAACGCGATAGTGCGATGATGAAAACGCGATAGTACGATGATGAAATCACGACAGTACGATGGTGAAAACGCGATAGTACGATGATGAAAACACGACAGTACGATGATGAAAACGCGATAGTACGATGGTGAAAACGCGATAGTACGATGGTGAAAACGCGATAGTACGATGATGAAAACACGACAGTACGATGATGAAAACGCGAAATCACGAAACTACGATGGTGAAAACGCGACAGTACGATGGTGAAAACACGATAGTTTATCGCGCTTTCATCATCGTAGTATCGTACTGTCGCGTTTTCATCATCGTACTTTCGCGTTTTCATCATCGTGCTTTCGCATTTTCACCATCGTAGTTTCGTGATTTCGCGTTTTCACCATCGTACTATCGACTATCGCGTTTCAGATCAACACATTCATAGGCAATGGCCCTAACGGCATTCCGTAGTTAAATACGCGTGTTACTTAAAAAATAATTGTTGCTTTTTGTTCTTTATGGCATATTTCTCGATTAAAATATCAATACATTACCATTTTACTTAAAGGCTACACCGCAAGGTTGAGTATAAAATTGAATTACTTTTGTATGCGCAGCGTTCGCGAAGTCGTTGCACGCCTAACACGTGCGTCTTTTTTCCCGCGCTTCAACGAGGCAAAATTTGTACATGTATATAAGGTTGTACTTTTTGTGATTTTTTTTTATTTCTTAGCCTATTCATATAATAAAACAATTATTGACTAGTGAGCCATTGAATATGATGTGATATTCACCGGCAGAAAGTCATATTGACCTCGGCTATCGCCTCGGTCAATATGTCATCTGCCGGTGAATATCACATCATATTCAATGGCTCACTAGTCAATAATTGTATAATATTTATTATGACGGATTTAAAACTAAGTTTATTGTTAAATATAAGTTAAGTAAACAAAACATAAAAAGTGATTTTTTTTCAATGTAAGTCATATACCTTAACGCGCTAGTAAAACAGTACTGTATATAACTGTTAATTGAACCATTAGGCTTATAATCGTTATATTTTGTGGCCAATCTAATTAAAATCTGATCATATTGAATAATCATTTGATTTTGACAAAAATAACTAATTGCATCATATTGCATCATAGTTTTAATGACCTATTTTAGTAGTTTTAAGCGGTCATTTTGAATTGACATTTTGAAGGTCAAGGTCAATTTTATTATCTTGGTATCCACTCTAATCGTCATCAGCATACCCATATTAGGTTAAACACAACGTACAATCAAATGGGCAGACACAGCTGTTCCAGTGTCGACAGCTGTACCAGTGTATACAGGTCGGCGCGGGGAATACAATTGACGCACGGTAATTTTTCATCTATTTTTAACATATCCCAACTGTGTTCGAGTAAATCAATGTTATGGATTCAAAGTTAACATCCAAAGGAGCGTGCTACAAATTTCTGGCACTGTGCAAGCTTTAAAATAACCACACTATCCGATGAGATGCGGTATTTTTATTTTTAAGTCACAAAAACTTATATTTTCTCATGATAATAAATCCTTTTTTTCATACGATTTGTAAACGTCAACATTTCGCCATTAAATATTCCAAGCCATACCTTCAAAAAAGCTTTTCTATTAAAGTTATAAGTTATTTAAATTTGAGTGTCATCAAAAGTTTAGTAACGTCATCAGCTGTTCGCCTCTTTTAATGATAACATCGACAGCAATTCATCGGCAAGAATGAATAACGCTTTAAGCCGTTCAAAGAAACAATTTTCTGCGCTTTTGTGCTACAGAAACTAGGAAAGAGTAAAACTTTTTTGTTCATTTAAAATATAACTTTATTAATGATACTTACTTGATGGATTTATTTATAATACAGAGTATTCGTATTCAGTGTTAAATTTGCCATTACTTTCATTGAATTTATCATTTCAGAAACATATTAATAGATCTTGCTACCTTTTCCTTTTTATATTGAAATACATTGCGGTAAATGGAGATCAAGGCCTCTCAGCTAAAATACAACAAATAATAGAAAGTAATAATAAAAATAATATAATTAGAAAATATCATTAATAAAGTAATATCTTAAATGAACAAAAATGTTTTACTCTTTCCTAGTTACTGTAGCACAAAAGCGCTGAAAAATGTTTCTTGGAACGGCTGTCAGCGTTATTCATTCTTGCCGATGAATTGCTGTCGATGTTATCATTAAAAAGAGGCGAACAGCTGATGACGTTACTAAAATTTTGATGACACTCAAACTTAAATACCTTATAACATTAACAGAAAAGCTTTTTTGAAGGTATGGTTTGGAATATTTAATGACGAAATATTGACATTTACGAATCGTATGAAAAAAGGATTTATTATCATGAGAAAATATAAGTTTTTGTGACTTTAAACTAAAAATACCGCATCTCATCGGATAGTGTGGTTATTTTCAGTCAAAATTCACGTGAAGTAAAGCTTGCACAGGGCCAGAAATTTGTTAGCATGCTCCTTTGGATGTTGACTATGAATCCATAACATTGATTTACTCGAACACATTTGGGATATGTTAAAAATAGATGAATACTTACCGTACGTCAATTATATTCCCCGCGCCGACATGTATATACTGGTACAGCTGTCGACGCTGGAACACTGTCTGCCCATTTAATTGTACGGTGTGTTAAAACACTCAAGATATTACTTGTACTATAAAATGCGTCTAGCATTCATATTTTCTTAAAATCAGTCCTGTCTATATAGAAAACCTAGTTAATTTGTTTATTTGGTGTGGTTTTTTTTGTTGTTGCTGCTGCTGCTGTTGTTGTTGTTGTTGTTGTTGTTGTGTGTTTTTTTCACTCCCATTTATTTGCCGCGTTTTTAAATGGACTTTTCGAGCTTTTATATATTATCATTATATCATGTCCGTTATCAATTTTGGGATATCAAGATAATACATTGTATGTTTAGCGCCTGGTCAGACTGCAAGGATGCCCAGACTGGTCAGGTTCGGTACTACCGGTGGCTGAGTGTAATCAATTCGGTTTTAGCAGGTAATCGGCTAAATTTACTGTCTTTTTCAAGTAAGCATAGCAATAATTAAATGCAGTCTACCTTTTCAAATAACAGTCGCCTGGTACAAGACTATCAGATCACAGTTGCAATGATTGTTTTCAAATTATGGAGAGTAGGGTAAGTATTAATTTTAACAACAGCAAAAACAACAGCAAAATGTGATTAAAGAAACTGTTCTCCCAACTATAAACTGTATTCAACGTATAAACAATTTAAAGACTTAGTTTGATATGATCTACAAACGAAATCAAACTTATGTGTGCAATACAGTATCTCTAACGCATGTCGTTTCCCCTGCCCCAACCCCGGCACCGGCATAAGAGGTATTACATCTTCATTGCTAAATTTTCATGAATGGCCAGAAATATAACCAAAGAAATACCAATACCAATATAGATCCTTTAATACTGTGAATAACATATGATTCATATGATTTATTTTAGTTTTATTAATGAAGAAATGAGATTGGTTTGTTATATTAACTCGCGTAACTACTTAATTCATTCAAGCAATTATATATAATATATAATTTACATAAACATATGCTTGTACAGGTCAAAAGTGCGAATTTGCACGTGATATGTTAATTACGTTTTTATATAATTGTTTCTCTAATAAATGTGTCCATGTCCTCAAACGCGCGTGATATTGCTATTATATTACATATCTGTCAAGATTAACTACGTAATAAAAAAAGTAAATTATTTATGCAAATTGATATAACCTGACCCGTTACATTTTCTCTCTATTGTCCGACCTCAAGTTGGTGTCATGTGTACTAAGTAATAAAGCGTAGACCTTTTATGCCATTAAAACAAAACGTATGCAGGAAGAGATCGCATTCTTATCAAAATGAGGAAATACGGTGTTATTTTTGCATTTTTCTCGCTCACACTTTTGGCACTTGTCTTTGAACAAGGTAAGGCATATTAAAGATTAATCATGTTTAGTGCGAAATGTGGTTTCTTTACATTTAGATTATTTAAAAAAGTTAGTTTGAAAAAAAAACATTAATGAGCCGTGTCATGCCTGTTTTTGTTTTGGTATAGAAAAAATATAAAAAATGTCATTTCATCCTTGATTAGATTAACAAACAAAACAACGTCATTCTTAACACGCAGCTCATTGAAATGATGTCATTTATTCCAGCATGTGTAAAAATAATGGAAACACCACTGTAATATGCAAGACAAGTTATAAGAAGCCGGTTCATACAGATAATTAGTTGCTGCTATTCTGTAAAGAATGCATTTCTAAAGATAGTTCATTCCGTGCTTTATCTAACATTTTTTTCAAATACATGTCTGATAAAATGGATTTCGTACCCACAATTTCAAATCTCTGTTTGTAGGAAATTGTCAAACTCAAAACGAAAATAGTCAACCAAAAAATGTAGGTAGCAAACAAAAAAGCGGGAAAGACTGGGCTAGCGATTGGAAGGACTGGGCTGGAATATTTAACGTGGCGGCTAGTGGTGATAGGCCAGAATGGTTTCAAATAGCCGACAGATACATGACAAATCTGATGGCCAATAACACTTCTGGTACAGACAAAGGCACCAAAAACAAAGGAGGATTTCTTTCAAACCTTTTTGGCAGGTACGTCAACTACGTTTATATATTGAAATTTGAATTTTAAACTTTTGACAAAGATACACAAAATCGAGATTATCTAACAATATGGGGTCAAAATAAACATGATACTTTTTGAGACAATAGAACTGATCAATTTTTAAGTCGTATACTAAGATTAAACATAAACCATCAATTGGTGCGTTGCATTTGTCAAGCTTTGAATTGAAAACAATTTATCGGTCTTTAAGGGATCACAAAACTTGAGTGACCAACAATATACAGCTTTGTCAGACAGCGCGGCAAAGGCTGGTTATTTACGGTTCCGGTAGCTAAATGGTTAAATGTCTCAAAATGTCATTCTAAAGATATTTTTTCTGTATGACAGTTATATTACTATTTGCTTTCTCTTTTTTAGACTCAGCAAACAGGAAAAGAAGAATAAGAATAAATCCAAGGTTGTCACAATAAATTGACAGATTCTTTTGCCATAAACTCGAAATATATTTGCGACCGGAAAACATGCGCTGTATTTCTTGAACGATATTGAACTATGACATTACATGTATTGTGTGATTGTTTATGCATAAAATTAATTTCAGTATCCTTGTGTATTGAAGCCTTTTTGAAAAGAAGAAGAAAAAATCTTTACTATAATATATAGTATAATACCCTGTCTTATCAAATATCACTAACTCTTTATGGATCATGTTACATTGTTTCATGGAATATGTGCCGTGTCACGACAAAACCAACATAATGGGTTTGCGACCAGCATGGATCCAGACCAGCCTGCGCATCAGCTCAGTCTGATCAGGATCTATGCTGTTCGCTTACCAACCCTATTACAAATAGAGAAACTGATAGCGAACAGCATGGATCCTGATCAGACTGCATGGATGCGCAGGCTGGTCTGGATCCATGCTGGTCGCAAATGCACTATGTTGGTTTTGTCGTGACACGGCTCATATGTGCTTTAAATATTTCTGAAATTCCGTTATCCACTTATTGTGTGGTCTTTATTTTCTATATAAGTGATTTACGGGGCTCTAGAATATCTATTTAACTAGAACATAACACAATATTAATGCAATACGGCTTTACGATAACAAACTTTGTGTGTAATATTTTTTTTGATGGGTGAAGATAATGCGTTACATGAACAACATCTTTCAGCCTATCTCTGTCTACAATCATTATGTACATAATAGTTATTAAACAACACAATGTGGATCATAGGATATGCAAAATATATACACACACTATTACATTTGTAATGATTGGTGTAAATCGCTACAAGTTTTGTTTAGAAAAAAGTATATCTCTCACGCCCATTGCACCGGAAAACTGGATTAATGATCCCGAAATACCTGGAAAAAAACGCTTTTATTAAGTACCGGGATTTAGGAACAGGGTAACATTCTACAGCTGCCACACAACATTTAACACCTGATGCCGCGAGTATAAAAAATCTTAAAATGGTAGATTCCCCGACAGCAATGGGGAAAAAAAGAGAGAAAAAAATAGCGGGTGCAGATTCGGTTTTATCGATTATGAAAAGTGCACGCTCTCTCACCCAAATCCCCACACCCAGCACCGTTTAAGGCGGGTTTTAATCCTTTATGCTGAAATATATTGGAATCAATTATCCTAAAGGACCTTAAAAAATAAGCAGAAGTCGGGCTTTGTTTGAAATGTATGTGCGTGTTGATGCATATAAGCTTTGTTAAGAGAATACAATGTGTATGTAATAATGTATAAACTGAGCTTTGTTTATATATGCAATGTGCTGATGGTTGCAAGGCTTGTTTAGAAAATATGCGTAACATAGGAATTTAAGCTTTGTTTTATGAAAAAAATGCATGACATTGAGGAGTATTTCGTTTAATTTATTTCTAGGAACATTTCATGCGCCATAATTTCTGGATATGTTTATATGGCATTCTAAGTACAGCTTTTTCTTTTAATAATTCTACCTGAATGTCCGGCATGAGTACCAATAAAATAGTGCCACTTTACGGAAACGTATGAAAGAAAACGAAGAACTGGTTTGTTAATCCATCTTAAACCCCAGTCACACTAGAGCTTACGATTACTTGCGACCACCGGCGACTTGTAAAACTGACGATCATCAGCGATTGTCTGCGACCAAAACCATTTTTGCACGAAATATTTACTTTTGCGAGTATCGTAAAGACAAGTCATCATTGACAATCACACGACAGGTCATAAGTTAACGCACGATGGTCTCAAGATTGCTTGGGATTACTTACGACTACCCGTGACATAACATGCGACCACCTACAACTTGTCGTACGACCATCGCACGAATACTAAAGACAACTTAAGATTATCAGTGACTAGTGGCAATTTGTAAAGACTGTCGTAAGATTGTCGCACTTCCGAACGACCATCGTGCGACAGCCTTAAGACCTTATAAGATCACTAGCGACCTGTTTGATCGCAAGGACTGAAATTGGTCGTGGGACCTAAAAAAGATAACCTGCGACTGTCAAAGATCACCGATGACCGTCGTAAGACGTTTTAAAGATTGTCCGCGACCACAGGTCACTGGTGATCGTGAACTGGTCTTCACTGGTCGTAAGCTCCTAATGTGACTGGGGCTTAAGTAACTGCACTCCGCTTAAACTTTATATTGACTTCAGCTCCAAATAACTCCGCTAATATAGCCAACATATCAACACAGTTGACGATAAAGTTATCTACTTATAATTATATTTTCCATTGCCAAAGGCAAGCAGGTAGTATACAACATGAAAGAGATTTTTGACAAATTTTAATAATGATCGTCTGCTACTCACGTGGTACCGGTACATATGTATTAAAGCTACATGCCTGGAGATATGTCAAAATATTTCAATAAAATCAAACTTGCGAAAAATGTTCTACGATGTAAGGAACAGTATTCAAGTAATATTTTACATGTTATGTACGGTGAATGACATATTTTTTCAGTATTTACAGCTATATTTCTACTGCGTTACTAACGCAGTAAATGTTATTTATGCATATTTTGACCACATTTTGGTAATTTACGTGGTTTGTAAGTGACATTAGTTTGTAAGTGACTTTGATAATGCGTAAATTGCTTCCTTTTGATTATTTTACAATATAACACATTCAAATGCATTTTCAAAGCTTTCATGGAAATTAGAATTAATCTGGAAGCGTGCTGCTTTAAGACAGCTTGCCATATTAATCATTGTTCATTAATAACGATAAGTATTCGTAACGTGAGACTTACGCTCTTCATGAAACAAATTAGGCACGGGCGTACGTTTTAATGTTATGCACGTGTCCTTGGAAAAAATATCGCACAAACCCTTTCAATGGCATATATATACCTAATGCATTTTACATGATTTAATCTTCTTATTAATAAAACATCAATTAGATTTATCCACAACGAGTGCTTCTTCATTGTATCATATCAAAAATTCACGTGACACGTCATGCATTTTACATTGACAATTATACACGTGATGCGCTTTTATATATCGCGTGCCGTAATTCTTAATATTATTATGCTAATTCATTTGATTTCATTAATTTTCGTTCCCTTTACTGCCTTTATATAAACACATGGTAATCAAAAAAGGCACTTCAGTATAAGTTTGACGGCTACAAGGATTGTTTCTAAAAGTAGACCTCTTTTCGATCATAAAAATCATTAATCATGAGGAATTCTAGTTTAGGGACAATAGCAGTGTTGTTTTTGTCGGTGGCGTTTGTTCTTAGAGAAGGTAAAATATATTTTATTTATTCTATGCTTACTAAAAGGGGGAAATTAAATTGAACACTAACCTACTGGACATTTGTCATAAAGTATTGAGAGCAGGGCCCATCTGACCAGGCTCAATCTCTGTAGCTAGTTTTTGTATTTTAAAGATCTCTTTTAAGACATTATGTCTTTATATCAATTATTTATTCTAAATGAATTTATCGATTTTGTAAGGTCCAAAAGATTTAAATTAAAGCATCTGAATTAACCATTTTATGTAAATAAACGGAGGTAATAATTAAAAAAAACTATTTCTAGAAGAAATTATAAGTCCTAGCTGGGATGCGCAAGCTGGTCTTGAAACATTCGTTCTACCCAATATTTGGAGAATTTAATCAGTTTAAATCATGTTTTATCTTTTAAGCATATTGTGATCTATCGCTGAAGAAATTTGTCATGAAAAAGAAATTTTAAACATAAAGTGTTAGCAATTTACAAAAAGGTTTTCATTTTGACTTCATACAAATAAAAATAAGTAAAAAATAGTTTATTTCGGTAAATGGCAAAATGACATAGAAACATAACATACACATCAAAAAAAAGGCACGATCCCTTTTGGGCTATATTCACGGGAACATAATGATTTAATTAATTACATATTCAATAAATTACTTCTTTCATCTTAGGAGAGATCTTAAATATGTACAAAATACTTAACCACTGTCGAAACTTGTTAAAATGAATTGGCCAATAATTTATTGTTGAAACTTACATTGACATCAATTATTTGAAGAAATTTGGATAAAAAAAAATAAAATAAATTTCGGATTTATTGTTTTTAAATTTTTCGAATTGGAATGTACTGCATACATGCTTAATTAGCATCATCAATTTATAGAAAGAAAAGGCCATAATTAATTACTAGTGATCGGAATAAAAAATTAATTCAATTAAAAAATGTACTAGTAGAAACGTTAAAATTATATTTTCTACGAAACTTTTTTAAGTCAGCCATATTTTACAGTTATTTTTTTACCTTAAAGCTATATTATTAATTAATGAATTTTTAAAGAAAATGACATCAAAATATATTCAAAGAATAGCTGTTATGTTTGAATATAGGACAATGTCAAGGAGAGAACGGTGACTACGCTATTCCGAACGGCAATCAACAAAACTGGGGTATTCCAAATGGCGACATGCAAAATTGGGGAAGTCAATACGGGGCAGGAAACTGGGCAAACCAAAATGGCGGACAGATGGGGCCTAATCAAAATGACTGGCAAAACTGGAAAAATCAATATGGCGGCAAAAAATGGAATAAAAAATCAAAGGACGGGAAAAAAGGGAAAAAAGGCGGTAACAACTGGGCAGCCGATTGGCAAAAATGGGCTGGAATGGGCAATGGTGGCGGAAATTCACAATGGCTTCAGATGGCTGAACAATACATGAGCCAATGGCGAAACAATAATGGCACAATCCCTACAAACGGGTAAGTTTTTTTCACACAATAATTTTATACACTTAACGATGTGTTTCAATGACGTACTGTATATAGAAAAAATTATCATAGAAATTGTAATGAATAAAATATATATATATATATATGTGTTCGTCCATTACTGAACTAGAAAACACTGTAAAATTATCATTTTCTTTTGTAGAATGTACGGAAAGAAAAACAAGAAAGATAGTAAGAAAACTGGTGGAGCCGCATATTAAGCTCTCCTGCTGATAAAAAGTGGAAAAGAAAAATATACATTTATTTACCGTCTATCATTTGTTCTACAAGTCACATTCAAGTCGGCAATAAAATCAGAACGTGATCCATCATTTCCGTGTTTGTCTCAAGTATGTAAAAACTTCGTCCTGTGTACAAACAAATTTTTAAGGACAACATCAACACCAGTATCGTCTTTGACACTATGTAGAAAGCCTAAAACCAACAAAGAAACGAAAGACTGTGGATTGCGATATGAACTAAGCATTCTCTGTATTTCCGATCCTAATATATTTGATATTTTTTGTAATTGATCTGAAATAAACGAAATGTATAATTATAAAAAAAATGAACATTTTGACTTGTAAATCTTAGGTTTATCTCACGATGAATGATATTCATAATTCATGAATGAAATTTTCTCTTGAGTCAAAATTTAAAATAAATGAAAACATCAAGACACTTGACAACAGAATAACTTAACGTCTGCTTTCACAAATACGTCAATTTATCAATCGCAGTCAGATAATCAGAACTATTCTGGTCAACTACCAAAACAACTTGTAAAGTTTTCTTAATTTGTACAAGTTCTCATATACAAAATGCCTGATTGACGTTCAAGGTCATGTCTAAGAGCCCACAGCTCCATGTAAACCTTCTACTAGCTCTGAAGTCGTTTAACAAAAAAAAATTACTCTCGAAAACAATTAACCCTCAGTCTGCTAAATTTCATCAAATGGACTGGTCTGGTTCCCAATTTTGGAACAATCCATGATCAGTTTTGGGGATATCAAAATATACGACGGCACATCAGACTTGTACCGAATAAAAATGAAAGCCCAAAGACGTTCAACAGAAAGAAACGACTGTAATGAACCAGTTAACCGTCACCCTGCTAAATTCCTTCGCTACCATCTTTGGAACAATCCATGATCATTTTTTATTAATACATCGCGGTGTTGAGATTTCACAGACAAAAACTGTCGGTAGGATAAAGTGCTCGACTATTCTCAGTGACTGAAAGTAAAAATAGAGCCTGGATAATGTAGAATATCCTCAGTTTAAAACAAGGCCATAATGCTGTAAAAATCCAGGTTATCAGAGATATTGACCTCCGGCAATGGCCCGCAATTTTGCCCTGAAATAACTGTGTGAAGTTTCAACTTATTCCCTTCAGCAGTTTTGGAAGTACTTAGATGCACTTAATAACTTATCCAAATGTGATGGCGGTGCCAGGGTAAGTACAACAGCTCTGCCCATTCTTCGTAAAGTCAAGCTCAAAATTAAATTCAAAACAAGATCTAGATCTATATCTACTTAATTTTATTTTAAAAAAGAAAACAATATGAATATTACAACAACTCTTCTAAACACAACAATACAAAATGGTCAAATCAAGCCTTTATCATTAACACCATTCTCCTGTCATTTATTCAATTCAGTCACACAAAAAACACTTATATAACACACAGTGAGCTTTCTCTCCCAACTATTCTTTGAAACGACCATCTAAAGAGTGATGATAAAATGACCTAGTTTATCTGCATTCCAGCACTACTATAATTGAGCCGCGTCATGACAAAACCAACATAATGGGTTTGCGACTAGCATGGATCCAGACCAGCCTGCGCAGTCTGATCAGGATCCATGCTGTTCGCTTACAGACCCTATAACAAGTAGAGAAACTGATAGCGAACAGCATGGATCCTGATCAGACTGTGCGGATGCGCAGGCTGGTCTGGATCCATGCTGGTCGCAAACCCATTATGTTGGTTTTGTCATGACACGGCTCATATTATAAAATGTTTAATGACTCTTCAAAAAGTTTGACTAACACTTTCACACCAACGTTATGAGAAGAAGAAAAAATCTTAAGAGTAGAATCTTTATATGCAAATTCATGATTATATTTCATGTTAACAACATTATTCAGTAAGGGATATACAGCAATAAAAATATGTACAATTAAAATCTGTACCATGATTTATTTTTCAAGAAACTGGTCAACAGCTGAACATGTATTCTATTAAAAAAATTCTTTGTTCAGTTAAGTATGAGGAAATAAGTATGAAAACAACACTGCTATATTCTACAAAAAAAATCCTCTTAGTTAAATTAATTCAAGTATGAGGAAAGAAAAGAGAAAATCTTTTTTTTCCCAAAAACTGTTTTCTTTTTTTTTAAAAAAAAAATTCTTGTTCAGTAAAAAAAAGGATGGGGAAAAAAAAATTTGAAAAAATTTTATTTTTCCAAAAAAATTTTTCCAAAAAAGTTCAAAAAAATTTATTTAAATATTTTAAAATAAAAAATTCAATTTTTCTTTCCCCTTTCCCCTGAATAATCCTTTTATTTTATTTAAAAACTTTTCAAAAAAATCTACAAAAAATTTAATTCGAAGTATTCTACTCAATGTTCTAAATCAACTATCTTCCATTTACTGTTAACAGGCAACACATGCCTTTCCTATGATACAATGATTTAATGTTCAAAAAATCTACAAAATTCAATGCAAAGTTTTCTACTCAATGTTCTAGATCTACTATCTTCCATTAACAGTTGCCAGGCAACATAACATAACTCTACTCAAGAGTAACTACTAAGAACTGTCTTTATGTGATCAGTTCTATATTATTTCATGGCCATAAAGAGAACTATAGGGCAGTGGTCACTCCCCATCACATCTTTACGGATAACATTGTCACACAAATCTTCCTTCAACCTTTCAGAGAGCACAAAGTAGTCTAGTCGCCTGAAAATACAGATTTAACATGTTACATGAATGATGTACATTATAAGAGGAAAGTATTAAGACTGTCTTCAAAAGGTGTCATTATGAACAAAATGTAAAGGTGTTCGATTAAAGTAGTGTTAGTTTATACAAATTTACTTTAGTTTGATTTTGTTGGAAGCAATAAGCTTTTTGAAACTCTTTCAACAGTGAGTGTAAAGTTTCTTGCGCAAGGAAATAACGGCTTGCCCCTGACAGGTTTGAATCCAGACGGAAAGAAAGTTTTTAGTTTGAGATTGTTACTTCAGAATGTATTCAAAAAAAGATATACCATCCAACGTTTTTGGCTCTAGCATTTCCCATATAGGTCCAGAAGGTATAAGCCCCTTCAGTTTCTGGGTACAGCTCCCTATAAGAGTCAATATATCCCTCTGCTAACAGATCTGTAAATCCCTGTCTCTCCTCCACTGTAAAACCTGCTGTCTTTTTATTGGTCTTTGGGTTAGCCAGATCTGCATGAATAAATTGTTTTAATTTACAAGTATACACTTTTACAAAACTTATCTTTTAAAAATAATGTGCATTTGAGTGATTTAGAATAACTCAACCTGATTCCTGCTAAATTTAATGAAATGGAATTGCACTGCTTTTAATTTGGAACTGTCCATGCCACGTTGAAGGGGTTTCACTATCAAAATACAGAATCTGAGCTACTGACAGTATAGAGTTTGGTCAGACAGCAGAGATGAAATGCTATATGTGACATATGACATGAAAATAAATATACAAGCATCATAATAATGAAAGTATAGGCAAGTTTTTATCAAAAAATATCAATAATAATCTATATGTTAACCTGGATATAGCGGTCACCTGTCTATAACAGCTGTTTAATGTTTGTTTGTTTGATTGGGTTTTACGTCACACCAACACAGTATAGGTCATATGGCCATGTTTCAGCTTTACTGGTGGAGGAAGACCTTGGGTGCCCTTCCATGCATTATTTCAGGCATGGATGGGCACCTGAGTAGAACCACAGATGTTCCATAAGCTAGCTGGATAGCTTCCTAACATAAAAGAATCCAAAGTCCCTGTCAGGATTCGAACCCTCAGCAGTGAGGGGCAAGTGGTTTGATGTCAACAACCTTAACCACTCGGCCACGTACACCCCATAACACCCATTTTAGTTAATTCCCCTCTCCAGACAGTTTAGACCGGACTTACCTATTTCTGTATGAGCAACATTCAGATCTCCACACATGATCACAGGTTTCGATTTGTTCAGATTATTCAGGTACTCTCTAAAGTCCACATCCCATTCTTTACTTCTGTATGGCAACCTTGGTAATCCGCGTCCAGAATTTGGAACATCTTAAAGTAATGAAAAATTGTATCACTGAAAATTTCTCTCAAGGCTTCACATAGGCTTATGTATACAACTATCACTAAAACTCAAATCATTTTGAGAGTTTATGAAATAAGTGACCATGAAAAATGTTGGCTCGAGTTGACATTGATGAAATTTTTTTGTACGAAGCATATTAATTATATATTGATATATGTATATCAAATAAAATAATAAAGAAATAGGCAATGTGATGAAAGTCATCAACCACACAACCACTGATCATAGGTTGTTTTGTCAACAATGATAAATGAGAAGTGTCAAACATATTTCTTTATCGAAAAGGTGACACATGATGCCATGATTAATTATCTTGATTCTAAGTTGCATTAAGTGACTCAATAGCCGAGAGGTTACTTGGCAACATTCCAGCTTTACTGGTAGAGGAAGAGACCTGCATTATTTTAGGCATGTACTTGCAAACGAGTACAACCACTGACTAGCTGGATAGAGCTTTAAAAAGACAGGTGTTACTTACAAGAGGTAACAAGGAAGAACTTGTCATACTCGGCTGTGATCACCCTTCCTTCTGCATCGTGCTTCTTAATACCTGAGGATTTTTTTTTTAAATAATAACATTAATTATATACAATGAAAGTAATAACAACCATTGTAATGCCACAATAACCATGGCCTGCAACAAGAACAATTGCCTGCCACCACAAGAACAATTGCCTGCCACCACAAGAACCATGGCCTGCTTCCACAAGAACCATGGCCTGCTTCCACAAGAACCATTGCCTGCCACAAGAACCATGGCCTTACAACAACAAGAATCATGGCCTGCCACAACATGAACCATGGCCTGTCACCACATGAACCATGGCCTGGCACCACAAGAACCATGGCCTGCCACCACAAGAACCATAGTCTGCCACAAGAACCATGGCCTGCCACCACAAGAACCATGGCCTGCCACCACAAGAACAATGGCCTAAACATCAAATTTTTTACTAATTCATGACATTTGCTTGAAAACACTAGGAAATAGTAACACAATACAGCCTCTGTAGCTCAGCTTCCTGTTAAGAAATTATCGCTTTACTATAACAATTTCCATTTTTCTTTAAGTAAGAATTCACAACAGATTTAACCTCTTTAAGCAACACATCACAGAATAAAACGAAGCAGTATACAGACATGAGTGTGAACTGTTCTCATCTACAGACACATGTATATTCTTCACCTATCTGGACAATAGAAGAAAGCATATAAACAAAAATTTTACTTTTTTTTGCACACTTCAGATCTTTTCCCAAAAATGCAGCTACAAAAATACCCAATTTGTGTAAAAATTTGTTATTTGGCTGGAATATTTTCTTCCAAATTTACAAAATGAGAAAAAAACTATTTTCTTCCGGTTTTTATTCAGTCTTGAATACATTTTTAGTCTTTTCACAAGTTACAATCAACTTTACCGGCCTTCTTGGATAAGTAACAAGTATCTATCAATTTTTCTACATGCCATTTACTACTAATCAATAATAATTTCTGAATCTGAAGTGAGAGACAAACGACCATTAGTCTCAATGTCTGTGATCTCTTGTCACAATGAGATTTTGCCTTGTTAGAAGATTGAACCAACAACCTCTTACTAATCCAATGCTGAAAATAGATTTCATACCTGGACCATAAGTGACATTGACTGGTTTGAACCAACAACCTCTGGTTTACTAACGATAATCCGATGCTGAAAATAGATTTCATACCTAGACCATAAGTGACATTGACTGGTTTAACCTTGCTGTAGATGCCAGTACCAGCATACCCAGCTTGTTCGGCCGAAGACCAGTAGTCGTGGTAACCATCTACCTTCACGTCAGCGGGTAAATCTGCTTCTGCACATTTTGTCTCTTGTACACAAAGGATGTCTGGCTGCTCGTCCTTGATGTATGACAGCCCGCCTTTCTGATAATAAATACAGTTCCATATGGTAATATACATACATGTATGTGTTTGAACAAGTATCTAACAGAAGATGAGGATACCTTTAATAAACTGACATGTATATTTAGGTTGGAAATGGAATTTTGAAAAACACAATATTTATTTATGTAAATTGAAAATGTTTTCTCATTGTACATTAAGTACAGATAAATATTTTAAGCTATGGATACAAACTTACGTCCATCCATGCTCGGATACCATTTATGTTCCACGAGGTTATCTTTAAATTGTATTTTCTTCCGTCTTTAGTCTGTGTGTCATGTGAGAAGTCCATTCCTGTAGTCAAGGATGCTTCCTTACGTAGCTTGGTCTTCTCTTCTGCTTTTGCTGCTTTAGCTTTCTTTGCTGGCTAGATAATGTATAAACAAAAACAGGAATGACTTTAGCTTTCTTTGCTGGCTAAATATGTATAAACAAAACAGGGATGACTTAAGCTTTCTTTGCTGGCTAGATATGTATAAACAAAACAGGGATGACTTTAGCTTTCTTTGCTGGCTAGATATGAATAAACAAAACAGGGATGACTTTAGCTTTCTTTGCTGGCTAAATATGTATAAACAAAACAGGGATGACTTAAGCTTTCTTTGCTGGCTAAATATGTATAAACAAAACAGGGATGACTTTAGCTTTCTTTGCTGGCTAGATATGTATAAACAAAACAGGGATGACTTTAGCTTTCTTTGCTGGCTAGATATGAATAAACAAAACAGTAAAGACTTTAGCTTTCTTTGCTGGCTAAATATGTATAAACATAATAGCCATGACGACAAAGTTAGACCAAAACTAGAAATGTGAAAAATCCTGCTGTGAATCAAAACTTGATAAGATTTATATCCTTTTCTTAAACAAAATTTATTTTCAATTCAATTCCATTGCAAATTAGTACAACATCACTCAATATGATTACGACTCAATTTTAAAGATACTTACAGGCTCCCCATCTTCTGCCTTTTTGCTTTCCTTCTTCTTTGGACTTTCAGCCTAAAATCATATTCAACATTTAAACATGTTTTAATTTATTATCATATAATCGTACCTACCTATTGCCTTGAAATGAAAATGTTGAAATTCAATTCAATAACATTATACCACTTGACTCTATATAATTTGCGTAATGGCTTTTTTCCTGTTTTGAATAAGGAATACACTTGGAAGTTCAACGGATTTCAATATCAAAATACAACAATAGTGCCATTGTCACCAAACACACCAGTCACAAATGCTCAGACTTATATCAATGAACATTTACATTGAAATCCCTCCTCAATTCATGAAACAAAATAGTCAACACTCAAAATTTTTTGTCTGATAATGGACCTTGGACCTCCTACTACACTATTTCTCAAGATGGTAAACATTTGTATCAAGTAATGAAACAAGAGCTGTCGGTAGGACAGCAACGCTTGACTATTCTTAGTGCTTGATAGTAAAAAAAATGCTTGATACAGTTACCTCCTCCTGTTTACAGGTTGGGGTCATGATGGTGAACAAGTGTGCAAAGTTTCAAAGCCATATGTCAATGGACTTTGAAAATATTTGAACTATTACAAAAACTTTAACGTAAATTCTAAGTTGAAAAAGGGGCATAATTCTGTCAAAATGCTTGATAGAGTTATCTCCTCCTTTTTACAGGTTGGGGTCATGATGGTGAACAAGTGTGCAAAGTTTCAAAGCCGTATGTCAATGGACTTTGAAAATATTTGAACTATTACAAAAATTTTAACGTAAATTCTAAGTCGAAAAAGGGGCATAATTCTGTCAAAATGCTTAATAGAGTTACCTCCTCTTGTCTACAGGTTGGGGTCATGATGGTGAACAAGTGTGCAAAGTTTCAAAGCCATATGTCAATGGACTTTGAAAATATTTGAACTATTACAAAAACTTTAACGTAAATTCTAAGTCGAAAAAGGGGCATAATTCTGTCAAAATGCTTGATAGAGTTACCTCCTCTTGTCTACAGGTTGGGGTCATGATGGTGAACAAGTGTGCAAAGTTTTCAAAGCCATATGTCAATGGACTTTTGAAAATATTTGAACTATTACAAAAACTTTAACGTAAATTCTAAGTCAAAAAAGCTGTCGGTAGGGCATAATTCTGTAAAAAAAATGCTTGATACAGTTACCTCCTCCTGTTTACAGGTTGGGGTCATGATGGTGAACAAGTGTGCAAAGTTTCAAAGCCATATGTCAATGGACTTTGAAAATATTTGAACTATTACAAAAACTTTAACGTAAATTCTAAGTCGAAAAAGGGGCATAATTCTGTCAAAATGCTTGATAGAGTTACCTCCTCCTGTTTACAGGTTGGGGTCATGATGTTGAACAAGTGTGCAAGTTTCAAAGCCATATGTCAATGGACTTTGAAAATATTTGAACTATTACAAAAAACTTTAACGTAAATTCTAAGTCGAAAAAGGGGCATAATTCTGTCAAAATGCTTGATAGAGTTACCTCCTCCTGTCTACAGGTTGGGGTCATGATGGTGAACAAGTGTGCAAAGTTTCAAAGCCATATGTCAATGGACTTTGAAAATATTTGAACTATTACAAAAACTTTAACGTAAATTCTAAGTCGAAAAAGGGGCATAATTCTGTCAAAATGCTTGATAGAGTTACCTCCTCCTGTCTACAGGTTGGGGTCATGATGGTGAACAAGTGTGCAAAGTTTCAAAAGCCATATGTCTATGGACTTTGAAAATATTTGAACTATTACAAAAACTTTAACATAAGTGGTTACGCCGACGCCGACGCCGACGCTCGGGTGACTGCAATAGCTCTACTTATTCTTATTGAATAGTCGAGCTAAAAAAGGGCATAATTCTGTCAAATTGCCTGATACAGTTACTTCCTCCTGTCTTCAGGATGGGGTCATGATGGTGAACAATTGTGCAACAGTTTCAAAGCCATATGTCAATGGACTTTGAAAATATTTGAACTATTACAAAACTTTAACGTAAATTCTAGTTCGAAAAAGGGGCATAATTCTGTCAAAATGCTTTGATAGAGTTACCTCCTCTTGTCTACAGGTTGGGGTCATGATGGTGAACAAGTGTGCAAAGTTTCAAAGCCATATGTCAATGGACTTTGAAAATATTTGAACTATTACAAAAAACTTTAACGTAAATTCTAAGTCGAAAAGGGGGCATAATTCTGTCAAAATGCTTGATAGAGTTACCTCCTCCTGTCTACAGGTTGGGGTCATGATGGTGAACAAGTGTGCAAAGTTTTCAAAGCCATATGGTCTATGGACTTTGAAAATATTGAACTAATTACAAAAACTTTACATAAGTGGTTACGCCGACGCTCGGGTGACTGCAATAGCTCTACTTATTCTTATCGAATAGTCAAGCTAAAAAACAATTAATCCATGAATGTAGAAGATATGTTCTGGATAAAAATCTTAACATTTCATCATCTCTAGTCTAGTGACTTTGACCTTTGCATTGTTTAACCTGGATTCTGCTGCAAAGACTAAGTCTCATGATAATAAATATTGTTTTATAATATAATCCCTAAATTCAAAGACTTCTTAACAGTCCATACACACATTTTCAAATCTTAATCTGACATTTGATCTCTGTGGCATTGACATTGGTCACTGGGACCTGAATTTCATGTGTCACTCTGTCTCTTATTGCAAATTTATGTTAAAATCCCTCAACGCATGCAGAAGTTTGGCTCTGGATAAGCATTTTTCTCAGACCATGCAAAGGGCAAAATCAAAAGCTGTACAATTTAGTCGTTTTTACAATCCAATGAGAATGTAAGCAAATAATGTCACTTTTATTGTTTTAATCACAAACTTTAGTTTTCCATTTTTTTTACTGTATTATATCCAGTGATCTTCTAAGCATGTTTACAAGTAGTCATATTTTTTTATGTTGTTTTTTGTCATTTGTATTTATAACAATCATGAATGCAGAGCAGTTAAAGAAAAAGTCATAATTATTATATTTACATTTGATGTTTGCTCTGTACTTTGTTCTTTAGACTTCTTTGGTGATGTCTGCAAAAAAAGCAACAAAAATTAACATAATTTTTTACTTATAAATTCAGTGTGATACAATATAACTTTAATTTAAATCTGAACACCTGAGCGATTATTTCACCATAATTAAAAAGCAGGCCAAAATCATAGAGTTCATTTTAATTTATTAGACTCCATTTGGTGAATTACCCAGAGCTATGTATAGAAAGTATCGGAAAACAGCGTTTAGCTTGGTTCTCGAATTCGTGAATAATAATGAAACATTTACAGATCTTTTGAGTCCTTTTGAATGACTCTGGATATATTTGTCATATCAATACTGATCTTGGAATTCAGGATTTTTTTTCAGAATATTGTGAACATGACCCATACCCATGGAATTGTGCATTTTAGCGATGTTTTGTAAATAATTGGGGAAAGATTGCATGTCTGAAATTTTGCAATGACTACAATCACTGTCTAGGAATGAGTAGCCTGGAACCACGTTGTATCGATCTATTTACCCATAAATCACAACTGCAGTTATAAAATTTAAATCTCCCTGAATCTTTATTTTGTATCATTTATTTTTATTCTTTTCAATCTTTTGTCATAATATTTGTCTGTTTTAAAATGTCAGCATAAATGTAGGAACTTTCAATGCTCAGACAGTTAATTAATGTCCTTTTAATAAGAACACACTATTTATAAGTCTATTATAATCTACAAGGTCTGACAGTACTGGAAAAAAGATTTTGATCATTTTTACGACACAAAACAAATGCGAAAGATTTTCGTGACACTGTTGTAAATGTAAACAATCAGTAGCTAGTGCATTTGCAAAAACATGGAAAGATTTGTAAATAGATCGATAAAATGAATAGCACGATACAATGGGGGGCAATCTCCTGGATTAGACCCCTATGTATTTTTCAGGCGTAAAACTTGTATATAATACACTAAAGAAAACGGAATGAACCTAATATATACTCCTGGTTTAGCCCACTAACTGACTATACTAGGATGGCATCTTGATTTGATGAATGCAAACAATAACAGTCTAGGATGATATAATCTTCAAACATTTACGCACTATCACACAAATGTATGCTTTATAAATATTAAGAACTCCTTTAACATGCACAACATTCCTGAAAATTTATTTCTCCAAAACAAAGAGCTCGCGAAAATAGATTACAAACAGATTACCTTCTTTTTGGGTGGCATTTTTGTAAGAGAAGAATATAAAGGTAACTGAATGCGCAACTGTTTAAATAAATTTATCAATCGTAATGTTTGTAGGGATGCAATCTTGAATTCTTTTTGCAACTTTCTTTATTTTCGTTTTGCACTTGCCGGTGTTTGAGTCAGACTAAACTGCTGACGAATTTGCTGACAAAATAAAAATAATAGGACACTGCTGGCCACTCTCTTCCATGCAAGTCATTGAAAATAACGGAAAACTTGACTGTTATAGAGCCCATAATATTTCGTATTCTACAGATGATATCGTTTTCTTTATTGATCAGTCAACCCTTTATAATCACAATTATATAGATCTATAATAGCTTTCTCCAACTCAATGTAGATTTCTAAAATACTTGTTAAGTGGTTCACATAAATACATTTCAGTACAATACAGGCTAAATATGAAAAACTAGGGGTGTCACGTAAGTCGTTTACAAGTCCGTTTAAATTTGCCTACGGGCGGAAAAAGTTTTAAATTAATTCTAAATATTACCTTAGTTTTTGACAATAATTATTGTTTGTATTTAAAGGGACTCGATCCGCTGAGTTTTTTTTTTGAAATGATGGGACTGAAAATATTTTTTCCAGGTGAATGTAACATTTCTTCTTCTTCCAATATAGTACAAACACATTTCGGCGTATACTCGTACTAGCGAAGCGCGGTGTGAGAAGTGTCTATATATGTACAAAGTGATTTAAAGGTAAAAAAAAACACCTGACAATCTATCGGTATGGTTGTACAGCTTACAACTGTCTTGGGAAGACTGTTCCAGAGGCGGATGGTGTATGGGAAGAAGGATCGTTGGTTGCACTGGGTTCTTGCAAATAGTACCAGGTAGTGAAGTTCATGTACTCGAGCAACCGCCTCCGTGGTCGAGGGGTTAGAGTTGATGACTTCTAATCGGCGTCGGTTCGAACCCCGGGAGACTCTCTGTTAGTTAAGCACAGAGGAAGGTAGTCTAGTACTGGTGTAACTCTCCAGGAACGATGATTAGGAAACTACCCGCCTATATGACTGAAATACTGTTGGGGAAAAGGCGTAAAATGAAACAAACAAACAATCGAGCAAAGATGATTGTGGTGAGGTTGGATGTGGGGTCTTCAACTAGCCGTTGACTATGCAGTACATCATGGTCACCTTGGTATGGGCACTGTGTTCCCGTAGGATAGGCCACTGTAAGTGTTGCAGCATGGGCGTCACACTACTGGTTCTTCTGTAGTCTAAGAAGACCATTCTTGCCGCTCGGCGCTGCACCATCTCCAGTTTCAAGATATTTGCCTCACTGAATAGGTCCCAGATGATAGAAAAGTATTCCACCAGAGGTCTCACGAGGGTCATATAGCAGAGCTCTTTGGTCCTTCTTGGGCATTGGTGGATGTTTCTCTGTAGAAAGGATGTGGCATTGTTGGCTTTCTTTGTAATGAGGTCAATGTGATGATTCCAGTTTAGTGACTTTTGGAAGTTGAGGCCTAAATATCTACTTCTTCTAAGATGTGTCCATGAATGTTATATGGTTGTCTAAAAGGTTTTCTCTTGTTTGTTATGTGGAGTATCTGGCATTTTTGAGGGTGGAATTCCACCAACCAACACTTTTCCCATCTTTGTAGTCCATCTAGGTCTTGCTGTAGGGCTTTAGCATCTTGGTCTGAGTGGATGGAGCGGTATATAGGGCACAGTCGTCAGCAAACATTCTAGTGGTGGATCCGGATTCAGGTGATACATACATGTAGTTGGGAAGATCATTTATGAAGACGAGAAATGAGAGAGGTCCTAGAACACTGCCTTGTTGGACACCGGCCTGAACGGGTGCTTCACGAGATTTGCTGCCATCTGGTAACACTCTCTGGCTCCAACCCTGTAGGAAGCTGTTTATCCATTTGATGTAGGTTTAGACCTCTAATCTTTGTGCAAAATTTCAGATCATTCGCGCACTTCGTTTTTCCACAATAATTATTCAAATTGTAAAAATGACCCAAACTGAAAAGCGTTTAAACACTTTTCACTCAAATCGGGTTAAGAAAATTATAAAAATACGATTTTCAATTTATTTCAAAGTATATTTCTTAACTATCTTTGCATATATTTCTGTTTAAAGTGCCCCAGTTCATTAATGTAAGAAATTCAAATGTTATGTTTTTAGGCTTTTAAACCTCAGTGTCCTGTCCCCTTAATTAAGCTGTTCTCAACAATGTGTTTTTCCGATCTGATAGAATACGGTAGCCGTTTGATGGCCTAGTATATACGTTCAATCAAAGATGTTATATTTCTGATCCATGAAGATCGTTCAGCACGATATTTTTTTGTAGAATTTTAGTTCCTTCTGTTCTGAGTAGTTTCCAGTAAATCAGTTTTGTAATACCAAAAGTTAGCCAAAATCACATTTCCTGTTTCAACGCCATATGACGTACATTATGTGAGTGCGCCGTAAAACCATCAAAATATCAGTATGCCAACTGAACACTGCATAATCACCCTAAAGACATGTTGCCTGCTTTTTAAGTGTGTCTTTTGACGTCATATTTGTGATACACATTGTGACCATACACCGCTTCCCATGGAATGGCAAGAAAGTCGTGCAATGAAAATTCTATAATTACCGTATTAACAGTCTGTGAATGCAGGGCTGGGAATCAAAAGTTCTGCGTCGTATCCTACAAAATGTAAACAAATGCCGCCAGCTTGGAACGAAAAACGCATGTTTTTGTTTATAACTTTTTTTGTTGGAAATGACCTGATATATTTATTAACACGCTACACTATTTTCCGCTTCGTTCGGTATATGTTCTTGCACAACCATTTTGTAAAACAAAAGTTAAAACGAACTTGCAACTCGAAGCGGGACAGAATTTTTATGAAAATGTGTGGATACGACGCAGTTCATATTGCTTTATCTATGATCGTTTTTTCCTTCAAATCAATTATATACTCGTTTACAGAGTTCACCATAAACTTTAAAACATAATTTTGCATCATTTACTAAACTTTCATTAAAAAGAGATGTTTATTTTCCAAGAAAATAATGATTTTTACGAAATGTTCACGAATGTTTCTTGTTCAAATGTTGAATACTGCTGAAGCGGGTGCGAAGCGGTGTGGAACAATCACCAAATCAAAACGAGTCAACATATTCATTTTACATTTTGTGGTTTTGGGAGTGTTTAGTTCTGTAATTTGTTTTACAATCATACTTTTGCTTTAGGGCCAAACGCCGCTTTATATCACTGTCGTAAAGCTCGATTTGATTGAGCCCGAGACTTTTTTATGGGCGGTACTGAAAAATGCAAGCAAACTTCTACGCTCCTAGCACCGGCTGAAACAAATTGTCATTTTCATGTTCAAATGTTGAATTCTGCTAAAGCCGGTGCTATGAAAAATGGACTTGCACTTTTTACGATCATCCATGTTTTTTGGCCGGTTTAAGTCCCTACAATAAGCGGAAGAGATCAGTGATCACATGAGTAGTAGGAGACACAAAGAACATTAACGGGGCAAAACGCGTTTTTTATTTATTTATTCAATGGCCATAACTCTCAACCCGAAAACCCGTGTTATATGTGCAAGAAATGGAGCTAACGATCTATCCTGTAAAGTTTCAAAGAAATTGTATTAGTGGTATTACAGGAGTAGTCCGAACAAATTTAAAAATAAAAGTTATTAAAGGGTCGTCACTCTGACAACAATCATTGAACCGGAAAATGACCATACTATGCACAACTAGAATTGGTACTGATCATTCCTGTAAAGGTTGGATGTAGTTTCTGTGCAGTAGTTCAGACATGCTTCGGTGTAGCTGGCAACACAAAAACACCTCTGTTATTGAAGGACCATAACTCAGTCCAATTAACCTCTGAACCAATCGGCATTTATTGGCCGAAGACCCAAACAAGCCTGTAACATTTTCAATGCTGCTTTTTAGCATACTTTAACTATTTTATCTACTTTTGACTCTCTTTATTGTAAATGGATAAGATAATTGTTTAAAGAAATTACAGGATGTATTACATAATTATCATATACGTCATATAGATTTTATGAGAACACCTGTCAGTAATTATGATTTGCCATAAAAAAGAAGATGAAAGAAAAAATAGTTAACGTTTTTCGAAATGATATAAACGTTTTGCTCCAAGTTTAAATAGAAAGCGCTGATTACTTGAAACAGAGCAAATTTGATCCGTAGTAAACAGATAATCTTAAAAAATCTAAAAAAATTATATTAAAATAGGATAAAAACAAATGAACATACAAACGATGAAAAGGAATTTGTTAAACTGGTTTACACTAACAAAAAACACAAAACATAAATATAAGAAACAAAACAAGAATGTGATGTTATGGAAATTTGATTATTAATGTATCAACATCGATTGTTCATAATATGCTTTGGGCAGTAAAACAACAAACACATTAAAATGTTATTTTCATCCATGATATGAAAGACTATAACAAAAATTATATATAATTCTTAGTCAAACATAGTCAATTATATAATGCAAATCCTCTCACAGCATTTCTGTTTTAATTTTTCGTCAATAATTTACCTAACGTTTTTTTGTCATTATTTACTTTCTGTTTTATAAGACGTTCGCTGAGTTATAAGACGTTCGCTCAGCGAAGAATATTTCACGTAAATATTATTTTTTTAGTTATGGAACGTGTGTGGTTCTACTCTGGTGTCCGTTTGTGCCTGAACTAATCAACAGAGGACCACTCCAGTAAAGCTGGAAAGCATTTAACTTATATTGTTGGTTCGGTGAAAAACTCAACAAAAACATAAGTTATTGGATACTTGTATCTGTCTTATTAATGATATAGCATGGCGGTTTCAGCAAATGGATTAGACATTTAAATTAGCAATTATATCTTAAACTATGTAGCTAAAACTCTATGTTCAAATAATCATCCTTGTAGCATCCATCTTTCAGTCATCACTTAATATCTGACACAAAGACTTTGATTGACTTTGGTATTTAAGGTGATTAACCTTTTACCCCATGAGCATAATTATTGTGAAAAATGGCCGTTTTCATTGAAAAGCCTTCTGTTACAAGTTCAAACTGCTATGAAACTATGAAAAATGATTCAATACTGATGAAACTTGGCACAAATGTTAACTGGACCATAGCATCTGTAACAGCAT